ATATGGAGACTATTCATTTTCAATGAAACTAGCAAGACAGGAACTTGACACGACAAGCACGCTGTCCTGACTTGTTGGAAGAAACTGCAGAGGAAAGCCACAGGCATCATCGCTCCATCCTCTTTACTGATATTTGCCTTGTTCAAATGCTCAGCACACGTGTGAAAGCTGCTCACAAAAGCTTTTTGGTATATGCCATTCCAAATTCCAAGCACAGCACGCTGACCCTGAGATTTTGTTTTGTTGTGGTGGTAAAATATACATAACGTAAAATTTACCTTTTTAACCATTTTTAAGTGTACAAGTTCCATGTTTTGAAGTACATTTATATTGTTGTGCAACCATCGCCGCCATCCATCTCCAGAACTTCATCTTCCCAAAATGACACTGTACCCATCAAACAATAACTTTTCCTTCCCTGCTCCCCCAGGGAGCAGCACCATCCTGGCAACCACCATTCTGCTTTCTGTGTCTGTGAGTTTGATGCCTCTAGGTGTCTCCTATAAGTGGAATCAAACAATATTTGTCCTTTTGGCTTATTTCATGTAGCATAATGTCTTCTGGGTTCATCCGTGTTGTAGCATGTATTAGAATGTTATTCCTTTTTAAGGCTCAGTGGTATACTTCTCTCTCTCTCTGTATATATACCACATTTTGTTTATCCATTCATCCATCAATGGACATTTGGGTGCTTCCACCTTTTGGCTATTGTGAATAATGCTGCTATGAACATGGGTGTGCAAATACCTGTTCAAGTTCCTGCTTTCAATTCTTTGGGTATATACCCAGAAGTGGAATTGCTGGATCATATTGTAATTCTATATTATTTTGAGAAGTCACCATACCGTTTTCCACAGCAGCTGCACCATTTTACATTCCCACCAGCAATGGGTTCCACTTTCTTCACGTCCTTGTCAACACTTGTTATTTTCTGTTTTTTTATAATAACCATCCTAATGGCAGTGAAGTAGTATCTTATTGTGGTTTTGATTTAAATTTCCCTAGTGATTAGATAGATATTGAGTATGTTTTCATGTGTTTAGTGGCCATGTGTGTATCTTCTTTGGAGATGCCTATTCAAGTCCTTTGCTCATTTTAAATTCAGTTGTTTGTTTTTTAGTTCTTGAGTTATAGTTTTTAAAGATATATTTTTGATATTAATCCCTTATGAGATATATGATTTATGAATATTTTCTCCCATTGCAGAAGTTACCTTTTCAATCTGTTGATAGTGTCTTTTAATACACAAAAGTTCTTAATTTTGATGAAGTCCAATTAATCTATTTTTCTTTTCCTGCCTGTGCTTCTGCGTGTCATATCCAAAAAATAATTGCCAAATCCAATGTCATGAAGATTTTCTGCTATGTTTTCCTCTAAGAGTTTTATAGTTTTAGCTCTAACATCTAGGTCTTTGATCCATTTTGAGTTAATTTTTGTATATGGTGTAAAATAAGGGTCCAGCTTCAGTTTTTGCTTGTAGAGATCCGGTTTTACCAGCACTATTTGTTGAAAAGACTGTGCTTTCTCTAGTGAATGGTCGTGGCAACTTTGTTGAAAATCATTTGACCATGTATGTGAGGGTTTATTTCTGGATTCTCTGTTCTATTCCATTGATCTATATGTCTGACTTTATGCCAGTACCACACTGTTTTGATTGCCAGAGCATTGTAGTGAGTTTTGAAATCAGGAATGTGAGAGCTCCAACTATGCTCTTCTTTTTCAAGATTGTTTTGATTATTTTGGGTCCCTTGAGATTCCACATGAATTTTAGGAAGAATTTTTCTATTTCTGCAAAAAATGTTGTTGAGATTTTCATAGAGATTGCATTGAATATGTAGATCACTTTGGGTAGTACTGACATCTTATCAGTACTAAACCTTCTAATCCATGAACATGAGATGTCTTTCCATTGTCCTCTTTAATTTCTTTCAGCTACATTTTGTAGCTTTCAGTGTATGTCTTTCACTTCCTTGGTTAAATTTATTCCCAAGTATTTTATTCTTTTTGATGTTATTGTAAATTGAATTGTTTTCTTAAATCTCCTTTAGGATTGTTCATTGTTAGTGTTTAGAAATGCAACTGATTTTTGTGTGTTGATTTTGTATACTGCAACTTTGCTGAATTCTCTTATTAGTTCTAATAGGTTTTTATTTTTTTAAGATTGGCCCTGAGCTAACATCTGTTGCCATCTTTTTTTTTCTTCTTCTCCCCAAAACCCCCCAGTACCTAGTTGTATATTCTAGTTGTAGGTCCTTCTAGTTCTGCTATGTGGGACACTGCCTCAGCATGGCTTGGTGAGCAGTGCTAGGTCCATGCCCAGGATATGAACCGGCAAAACCCTGGGGCACTGATTGTGCAAACTTAACCACTCAGCCACAGGGCCAACCCAAGGTGGGTTTTTTTTGTGAAATCTTTAGAGTTCCCTACATGTAAGATCTTGTCACTTGTGAACAGAGATAATTTTACTTCTTCCTTTCCTATTTGCATGCCTTTTATTTCTTTTTCTTGCCTAATTGCTCTGGCTAGAACTTCTAGTATTATGTTGAACAGAAGTGATGAAAGTGGGCATCCTTGTCTTGTTCCTGATCTTAGAGGAAAAGCTTTCTGTCTTTCACCATTGAGTAAGATGTTAGCAGTGAGTTTTTCATTTATGGCCTTTAGTATGTCGAGGTAATTTATTTCTATTTGTAGTCTGTTGAGTGTTTTTATTATGAAAAGTGTTTGAATTTTGTCAAATGCTTTTTCTGCATCGATTGAGATCGTGGACCCTGAGATTTTGTAACCAGGGAAGTGGCTCTGAATCCCAGCCCAAAACATATTGTGAGAAGTCTCAGCAATTAGGAAACTACAGTTTTATTTCATGACACTCTGTTTTCTTCTGTACCTCTTAGTGGAGCCAACAGCTCTTGTCAATTGCAGCAATCATATCTAGACCTCCCCTTCCTTGACCTGGCTACAGTTTTTTAAGCCCAGCAATAGCGAACTATAGCATCCTCTTATTTCTTGCTAACAATAAGAAGAAAAAGTAAATCAGTTTGACTTATTAATGAATGACCGGCTGAGCCCTTTTTTACAGGATGAATTTATTTTTAATTTTTAAACTATCGTACAGTAAAATTGACTTTTTGGGGGAGTACAGTTCCTTGAATAAACACATATACAGATTCATGTAACTACCAGTACAATTAGGATACAGAACAGTTCCATTACCCTAAAAAACTCCTGCGTTCTATCCCTTTATTGTCACATCCGTCCCCTACGTTGAACTCCTGACAACCGCTAAGCGTCTTCCTCACTATAGTTTTATCTCTTTGAGAATGTCATGCATCATATAACACGTTATGTCAGTGAGTAGAAGCTTCAGTATAACTGATGACTTTGCTAACAACCATTCTGAGCAAGAGAACTGTCCTATACCATGAACTGGGTGCCATCATGGTAGGAAATCATAATCGTAGATTCATATGTTGTTGTATTGGCCTCATAACTTCGGTCTCTGAACTCCTATCAGTCTGTTGGGAAGAGTGTTAGCCAAATTACAAGGCTAATGGTTGAGGATTGGGATCAACTTTTTAGCAACTGGGTCACAAGAAACAATAGGACGTGGTCATCTGTGGTTCATGGTCATTTTATGGACTGCTATGTTTTATCATCCACACTTGAAGGACAGTGAGGAGGAAATGTATGAAGCTGAAAACTATAGGTCTGTGCAAGAGATGATTGCCAACAGATTGTAAAGCAAATTATATTTTGCTTCCACTGCAGTGGCCAGTGAATCAATCTTCTGGTCTGTCAGGTGAAATGGAGTGAAATGGAAATACTCGGATTTTATATATTAGTATGCTTTTGACTGCAAGTAACAAGATACCAAGCCAAGAGTAATGGAAATAGCATGGGAGTTTCTTATCTCACAAAGAGGCCTCTAGAGGTAGGTGGTTCCAGGGCTGAACCAGTGTTGAGCTGAACTCAACAATGTCATAAAGACTCTGGTTCTTTCCATCCTCCATTCCACTGTCCTCAGTATGGAAAATTTTGGCCCTCAGATTTTTCACCTCTTGTTGCAAGATGGCTGGTGCAGCCCCAGGTATCATGTCCTCATACAAGTGGATTCATATGTAGGAAGCAGGGGGCAGGGATGGTGACATGAGAGCTTGTCTCACGTGTGCTTCTTTTTTGTCTTGGAGGAAAATGTTTTCCCAAATCCCCAAAAGAGACTTTTTCTTATGTCTCATAGTCAGAACTGGGTCCCACGGTTGTTCCTACCTGAAGGTAAAGTATGTAGTTAGCGTTTTAACATTTATCATGGGAAATGGGCTTTGACAGGAGGGAAGAGGGTAAGAGAAGTGACTCCTGGGGGTAACAGGTCTGCCCACTCTGAAGCTGTGAGGATTAAACACAGAAATGTGGAGAGGGCACGTCTACCAGGGAGACCATCTACCGTGGAAGGCGCGTCTACCTTGAAAGGTGTGTCTGCTGTGAAAGGCGCGTCTACGTGGAAGGTGCGTCTAGCGGGGAAGGCACGTCTCACTAGGTTGGGCACATAAAGGGCTCCATCCTCATTGCTTTGTTTCCTTTATCTTTCTCCCCTCAGATTTCCTTCCTCATTTTTCTGCTTTAGAAGAAGGATGGAAATCCAGAACTTTTGCTCAGTTCTCTAAACAAAGGCACAGCTTGTCTCTCCCTGGCCCTACGTTTTTGAGTTCTACAGCTCTAGTTTCCACAACCATTTGGAATCTCCCTGATTTCTCAAGAGAGTTCCTGACCTCAGACTGAGGAGTACGTTTTTATGGCCAGTCCATAGACATTATAAATGAGGAACTGAGAAATCTTTATAAACAAAAAAGAAAAAGTCAACAGGATCTAAGTTATTGTCACACTGTGCTTCAGTGGAGTGATGCTCTCTCCACAAAGGCAGCAGCAGGCGCCCTCTGGCTCTGTGACGCCACGAGATGCTTCTCGCCATCAGAGCGATGACTTCAGCTTTTCCATTCCAGCTTGTGGTGCAAATGAGTAAGGAACCTGGATCTGCTCTGGAAGCAGGACACGTGCTCCACACTACTCAGAAGAGGAAGATTCCTTACAAGATGGTATTTCACTCCCCAGACTTCAAGGACTTCCTTCATCTGTCAGAGTGGCTCTGCATCGTGTCATGGACCACCTCAGGATCACAATGAGGACACTGTACTGATCCTACGCAGCACAGGTTTTTTCCCTTAAATGAGCTCCTCTTCCTGCTGAGTCATTGCAGTTCAAATCTCCTAATCTCACCTCCTTCTCTAATCCTTTTACCTGATAGCTTTTTTAAGGGCAGAGATGGGGCAGGGTTAGAAGTAGAGATAAAAAAGGGGCCAGGGCTCACCCTAAAATGCATTTAACTAAGAAGTGCCAAAGACCTACACTGCAAACAGGTGAGAGGAGAACGCAGTTTTTAGAAACCTGGTAAGTAGCAGTAAAGACTTCAAGGGCCGCGCTCTCTCTGTCAAACCAAGGCTGAGTTAGCAAAAAGGCTGCGCCAGTCCTGATGGAGGGACCCGGGCGCAGCGCCTGAGTGGCTCCCAGGCTCTGAGAGGAGGAGTGGGCTCCCCTGTGTCGCACCCAGGGAGAAGCCAGGAGAAACCTGCTCTGCAGGCCTGCCACTCACAAACCTCCAGGGACAAAGATGCTGACAACGGCAGGCAGCAGCTCTGCGGGATGCTGCTGGACATACTGCAAAGGAACACCACCAGCAGCTGTCTGAAGCTGGTGTTCTTTTGTTACCATTTGGTTAGTAAGGCCTCTGTCTACCAAGAAACCAACCAGATGAAGCCAGCCTTCCTTGGGAAGGCCCTAGGGCAGCCAGGAAGGATGACGTGCTGTGTCCAAGTCGGGAGGGTTTCACCAACGCGAACACCTCCCTGTGCCCATTGTGGACTTCGGGGCTCTGGAGGGAGCACTCTCCCTTCAGACAGGGAGGCCACATGGACCCTAAGCAAATGGAGAGAATCCTACATAAGGCAAGTGTGGGGTTCACACTCAATCGCGCGGGCAAGTGCAAGTGTGTGGGCAGGACACAAAGGTCCGTGTGAGACGAGTCCCCCCAGAACAGGGGCCCCGGCTGGCTCATTCTGGTCTCCTTGGCACTGTGAATCTGTCACACGAGGTAGGGCCATAACTGGCAAATTTCAAATAAAGGTTAGCTCTACACTTTGATCCACCCATGATGTCATCCTACCCAATTTTATCGCTGCACCGAGGATACACACCTAAATGAAAGCACCTAAAACCCAGGGCAGTTTCCACACAGCCGCACTCACAGCTCTCACTCATTCTCATTTTCCTTCTTTGTCTCTCTTGATTTCACGCTCACCTTTTCTCTCTCCAGAACTGTTGCCAGGAGCCGGGGAAAGAGTAGAATAGCACCCGTTTTTCCAAGCCTTCATGAAAGCATACAAAAGCATGAGGATGCAGAATTAGAAAAGTGGAGGAAGAAGACCAAGACAGCGGGGTGGGAAGAGGCAGAAAACCGCAAGGCAGGGCTCACCACCGTGGGCTGGGCGAGCTGTGAGCGACCAGCGCTCTTGCCCGACCAGGACACGGAGGCCGGCTCCAGACTGCATCGCGGGGTAAACCGCCACGCTTGTCCACCGGTGGAGAACCAGGAGCTACCCATCTCCCTATTCTGTCACACATCCCGGCCACTTATTTTTCTTGAATGTGGATAAATTTATGTTTGTATATGTCCTTTCCATTGAGCCAACTCGAGCAGAAGGGGAAATGAGGTGGACTGTTTTGGAAAAGTCCGGATACTTGGTGAATGCAGATGCCTTCTGTATGGCCAATTTTATGTGTCAACTTGACTGGGCCGTGGTGCCCAGATATTTGGTCAAACATTATTCTGGATGTGTGTGTAAGGCTGTTTGGGGATGAGCTTTACCTTTAAATAGGTAGACTGAGTAAAACAGATTGTCGTCCCTAATGTGGGTGGGTCTCATCCAGTCAACTGATGGCCTGAATAGAACAAAGACTGACCTCCCCTGGGCAAGAGGGAATTCTCCAGCCGACAGACTTCCGGCCTCAGCCGGTTGTCCAGCAGCTGCCTTTTGGCGTCCGCTGCAACTCCTTCCCACTAGCCGCCCCCTCAGATTGTGCACGTGCCACGCCTTCACAACCAGTGAGCCAACTCCTTACCATAGACCTCTTTATACACACACAGCCTACTGCTTCTGTTTCTCTGCAGAACCCCGACTAATACAGCATCCTATGAGCTGACAGACAGGGTTGAGAGGTAACAAGTGTGTTCGTGCCTTTTTCCAATCAGCACTGTAACTGAGGCGTGTGGACTCTCGAGACTGTTCACACGTGAGCCCGGCTCCTTCCTAGCCCTCTGCCCTGGGCAGGTCCCTTAAGCTTGAGAAACAACATTTGCTCAGATGCCTGGAGCACTGCCAATCCTGGTGTAGGAGTATTCTAGTGCTCCTGTGACAAACCACCACACACTCAGTGCTCAAAGCATCAGTGTCGTCTTGTACAGTTCTGGAGGTCAGAAGTCTCACCTCAGAGGCTCAGCAGGGCTCCTGGAGGCTTCAGGGGAGGATCTGTCTCTCGTCCTTTTCAGCCTCTAGAGGCCGCCTGCATTCTTTGGATCATGGGCCCTTCCTTGCATCTCTCCAACCTCTGGCTCCCACTGCCACCTCTCCTACTCATCTGATGGCCTGCCTCTCTCTCCTAAGGGCCCTTGCAGTTACATTGGGCGCACTCAGGGAATCCAGAATAATCTCCCCATACCCATATCCTTGACTTAATCACATCTGCCAAGTCTCCTTTGACAGATGAGGTAACATTCACAGGTTCTGGGGATCAGGACAAGAGTGTGTTTGTAATGGGGCATTACTCAGCCTTCCACACCTGGTCACTAGAGGTCACTGGTTACAGATGGAAGGCGAGATAAGGGGAGGATCCAAGGTTTCAGAGCTGGTACTTGAAACCATTTTGCTTTTTTGGAAAAGTACTCGACTGTTTGGTGAATACAGAAAGATGCAACAAAGAAATGCTTTCGTGGGGCTGGCCTGGTGGTGTAGTGGTTGGGTTCACATGCTCTGCTTCGGCAGCCCAGGGTTTGTAGGTTCAGATCCTGGGTGTGGACCTACAAATCACTTGTCAACCCATGCTGTGGTGGCGTCCTACATACAAAATAGAGGAGGATTGGCATAGATGTTAGCTCAGGGCCAATCTTCCTCACCAAACAAACAAAATTCTCAGGTGATTCCAATTGCAGCTTGTGACTTAGTGACCTAAGTTCTAAAAAAAAAAAAAAAAAAAAATGCTTTCTTGGCTTCTAAAGAGACAAATACGTGTTGGTGCTGTATTTTTCTTTAACAAGGAAAATTCTGCTCCTGGAGTCATCACAGACTAAAGCTTTACATCACAAAATAAAATAATATACACGTATTTTTTAAAGGTATAATATTCTGCCCTGGTACTCATGGCTGTGGGGCCTGGTGTCCTGGCAGCGCTGCTGAGTGCTTCCTTCAGGCTTCTGTACCTGACCTCTGACCTCGAGCAGGAATTCAGATCTTTTACAGTGGACCCTGAGATGCTCCCTCAACACACATAATTCAGGCATCATAAATCCATGTCATCATTTGCATTCTGGAATATGCCATCCCAATATAAGTCCTAGAGCTGTCGTGCGCCCTCAAATGCTGAGGACAGTTTTTAAGGGAATCAGTCATTTTCAGTGCTTCCCTCTTGGTTACATGGATAACTCTAGGGACCTTTCTGGCCTTTCTTTTTGATGTATTGCTGTATTTTGGGTGCTCAGGGCACAGCCATAACCTTTGCTTGGTTTACTATTAGCAGAGAGAACTTGGTTTTGACTCCATAGAAAGAAGGGAACATTGAATAAATCAGTTTTCAAAAATCATCCTAATTGCTCAATTCAGTGCTCAACAATTGCTGGGAAGTCTAGAATAATTTCAACCTACCAGTGAAGACTCATGGTCTGAGTCTGACTGACGGTTAGAAGGACTCACTTGATCCTGGGGGCGCCAGGCTTCCTTCCTTACTCTCAGCTTGTGACGGGATGGCACTCTCCTAGCGTTCACCCACTTCAGGCACAAGGGCTTCAAACGAAGGCCCAAGACTTGGTTTTGAGCTCAAAGATGATTTATCTTCCCCATTCCGAGGACACTTCAATACATTATCCTTTTCCTCCCCTCCCCCAGCTCCTCCTCCCCCTCCCGTCCCCTCCTTTCATCAGAGATCCTTGGGTCTTTACTTCACTGTCCATTTCTGTGTTTTCTGCTTTTCTTCTTAAAGCTTGACTTTATCGTCGGGGGAAAAACGTTTTCCTTTCAGCTTCAAGTGAACTGCCATCATGGAAAAGGCGGCCAACCATGTCATGGCTCCTGTCACTGTGTAGGCGAGACCTAAGAAAAGGCTGTGGCCTCCACTCCATGTCAGGGTGGAAAGAACAACTGATTTTTCTCCTTGGAACCTGGTTACTGGAAAGTCTAAGAAAAGAAGACCTGTTAAGGATCTGTCTCGGCACTTCTCAGCTCTACCACTGTGTATCCTAAATACTTTAGTTTGAACCATATAAAATTGCCATTTTTCTTGGTAAAAAAATGGTTGAATATTCCATTTCATATGTTCTAATCTTTACCAAGCAGTACTGCGTATCTTTCTGGAATGAAATTAATTAAAAACAAGCCTTCCTTCTACATAGTTGTAATCTATGAAAGAGACTCTGACACAGATCTGAATGATTTACAGACAACTAAATAATGAACAAATATATTTAATTTCCTTTGCCAAACCCAAGGAAGTGAAAAGAATATAGACAGATTTTCTAGAGAACCTACATTTTTGTTTGTGAATCAGGAGACCCAGGGTAGGCTAAAAGGCCTTCACAGGCTAAGATTTGAATTCCTGCCCCAGGGAAAATTCAAGAGGAGTGAAGAACAAAAAAATAATGAGATAGGTGGCAAAACATTTTTAGTGGGAAAACTAAAGGTGGTGCCTTCACTTGGGTTTTGAAAAGGCCAGCGTCCCTCACTGCTGGGGAGAAAGTGTTTGAAGTGGGTTTGCTATCGTTAGCATTTGAATGATGTCATTTTGATTATGCATGTGGCCTGAGGTTGTTAAACATCTGGAGCCTTTTGTAAACCAAACTAATAAACAAATAAAGGCTTCTCATAGCAACGGCACAGGACAGCGGCATTTCCCAGCAAAGCACTTAAAAGGCCTCAAATCCTTGGCAACATGCTATTTAAAGGCACAGGGAAACTTGTTAGGAAACTAGTTCTCTCTCTTTTACATCAGAATTCCTCATTGTCACCAGGTCCTTGGGTGTCACCACAACTCATCTGCCTGGCTGTTTTCTCCCACCCTCGGTTCCATTAAGAGGGTCTTTTCCTCACACAAAGAGCATCTCTTCTCCCTTAGAAGTGGTAGGCGGTTTCTGCAGCTCAGCTTAGCTCTTCTCCTTGTGTCTCAGCCAGGCCATGAGGCGGGCTGGGTAATACTCACACCAGGCTCAACCCAGGGGAGCAAGGTCACGACTGAAGCTCAGGACCGAGCTTCTGATGGAAGATTTAGACTGGAGAGTCACCATTCAAATGTGACTGTGAAAGAAGTCACCTAAGGAGAGGCTGTCTCCAGGGGAGAAATGGAGGGTCTCCTTTGTCTGGAACACGGACTCCCTTCCTCTCTCCCTCAGCCCCAAACTCACTGTCCTGCCTTGTGAAGGCAGCAGTACATGACGGGTTTTTCCTGTTCCCTGATCGCAGCTATAACTGCTTTACTGGCACAGCAATCACAGACACAGCTGACGGGATCAGAAGGTCCAACTTGAGAGAGGACTGTCAAGCAACTTTCAATCCCAAATGTTTCTGGGGGGAGAGAGAGGGTTGCTGAAATCCCATTTAGAAGCCAATATTCTATGGCTCACTCTTTCATCTGTACTTATAATGCTATATAAGAGAGACCAATCTGTGGCTTTCATTTTCATAGAACAGAATTAGAGACCGTGCTAAAGGAGTGACCTGAAGAGAAACTGTACTCCTGGTCAGTAAACAAAAGAAGGCAACTAGCTGAGAGGTAGAGATGGTGCCACATCACAGGACCATCTCTGACTGAGGCACATCTCTGCTCCCCCGTCGGGATGCAGGTGTCCACACTCTAGTCTAGGATGGAAAGATGGAGTAGGGAACTGGAACACACGAGTCACTAACCTACCCCCAGGAGCTTCTGGTTCAAGCTCCTGAGAGGTAAAGAAACTCATGAGGTTGACACTTGCGTGTAAAGATCCTCTGGCTTGCTGGGGGTCCCATGAACAACTCCTGGCCAGTGGCTCTGAGATGCCTGGGGGGCGCTGATGCCTAATCAGGATGATGTCTCAAAGCTGTGTTCCAGCACTGGAAAGATCCTGCCTCCAAAAGAATTCTGCCTCGGGGAGAATTAGGAAGAGATTTTAAAATTAAGTCTGAAGACGAGACTTTGCGTAAACTGTGTTTAAATACATAACTTCTTAAAGATAGTGTTTGGTGCCATTTTGAAGTCCTTTTTGTTTTTAAATCACGAGTTACATTTGTACTTTTAGGTTTGGTGAAAAATTGGGACTCTCCTACAAAGGCATCCTCCTAACTTGGACCGGATGTCCGTAACCCGGACACTGACTCCTGCCAGCTGGCTTTGCATCCTTGGCGAGAGAGGGAAGGACCCAGAGTCCTCAGCGCGGCCTCAGAGCACTCCTCACCGGGGGCACGCCTCACTGGGAGCACTCCTCACGGAGGGCGGGGAGGATGGGTGTGAGGGGCACCTGCCCTCTGGGCCAGAGCTCTTTGGGCCGGCATCCTTCCGCTGAGCATAAAAGGTTCTACAGTCTCTCTCGGTTTAGTTATTTTTAGTCTCTATCACGAATTTACTTCTTATGAAACCTCTATTTCCGTGGTCCTCCATTTCATTCCATCCCATATGGCAGTCTTCTCCTCGCTGTTTCAGATCTCTCGGCACAGGGTTATTTATCTCTCATGGGGGAGAGAAACAGTCCTCTATTTATTCATACCTACTTACCGATATTAACTTAACTGTTATTCCTAAAAAGACGGTACACATTTGATGGTACAAAGTGGAGACACACAGCTATATGGTGATGGACTGACGCTGCTACCTGTAGGAGAACTCTGTATTTCTTTTATATATGTATAGAGAGAAATTTGATCGGAGAATAGAAAAGTATAGTGAAATAATTCAAGGACCAGTATGCAGATGGACACTGATTTTCCTTCAGCCCCAGAAAGAAAAGCAGTATAAAAGGATACTGTAGCTTACGTTGAAACTATAATTACCAGCGGGCAAACCTTCAATAAAATGCTGTGTTCGACTGAGTCGACGGTACAGCTTTTTGAAAGTGGGGAAGGCAGCCGTCCGCATCCACACGATGAAGTCGTCGTTAAGGAAGCCGTTGTTTCCTGGATCGTTTTCATCCAGCTCATAGACAGGCTTAGGCCAGGATGGGGGCTTAGTGGTTCCTGTGGGAAGAAAATAATGCATGTGGTTGAGAAAAATTGTCTACCCTCTTCAGTTTTTCTTAGAATGTAGAGAATGAAATAACTTTTGCATTCTTGAGGAAAGAGAATAGAAATTAGACTTAAAAAAAAAAATGTGTGTGAGCTACCTGAGTATGCAATCATGAAAAATAATGGTTATAAAGACTCTAAGGAAACATGGGGGGAAATGCTGATGACATTTTCATAGGGTTAAAAAATAGAGCAGAAATCAAATTACATGTCTATCATGTGTTCAACTATGTTAAATGCATATAAAGCATTGAAAAAATAGGTAGAGGAAAACGATAATAGTGCTTGTATTCAGTAATAGCATCTTAGGGGGTGACTTTATTTTCTTTAACTTCACTGATCATCTAAAGAGAGCAAACTAAAAGAAGACACCATTTCATCTAAAAGTTGGTTACTATTTATTTAAAGAAAAAAGAATGACAGCTATCGATGAGGCAGTGGCCATGAGAACTCATGCAGAGCAGGTGGATGTGTGGATTAACAGCATCTCTGACAATCTAGGAACATGCATCAAAAGCTTTAATATATTTCGGCTCAGAAATTCAACTTCTAGGAATTTAGTCTAAGGAAATAATCACAGAAGTACGTGGAGATTGTGTTACACATCTTCTCCACAGCACTGTGCCTGAGTGCGCAAAGTTGGAAGCAAGGAGAGGAACTGGTATGTGGTGGGAGGTGGAGAACAAGGTGTTGCAAGCGTGTTCCAAAGCCAGGAAGCCTGGGGGTGTGGGTGCTGTCAGACACTTGGAGCACCGGGTGGAGGGCCATTGCGGCAGAGGGATCTGCCGAGTGTATTCCTGTCCTTTACCGCCGTCTCCAACTACGCAGCAGACTCTTGAGGACAGTGTCTTCCTCATCTTTTTGCACACAGTAGGGTATTCAATAAATACGTGACAAAGCGATGAGGATTCCAATTAAAGCTGGCAGGAGTTGATGATAAAAACCATATTGAATTTTAAAGAGCTAGACAACAAGAGGAAATTGTTTAATGAAGTTTTTACTTCCACAAAACTGGTCCTGTTATTGGTAGGATTCAAAATGCTAAATAGGGAACCATTCTTTCTCAACTCTGACCACTGACTAAACTGTTTTTCCAGCAAGAAACCCACTCCTGTTTTCTAAGCATGGGCTGAGTTTGGCTGGAGTCATCCTCTGAAGGATGTTTCTATACTTAATAATTCCTCTGTGAATAATCCTTTGGTGGAGAAACGTCCTCTGCGAAGTCTGTGTTGTGGCACTCACCCATTTCGGCCCTTCCCAAGATCTCAGTCTCTGTTGCTAGAAGAATTTTGATAAAAATTGCAATTGCCTTTGGTCCCTGCACTGTGGAGCTTACCTCTCTCTACTTTAGCCAGAGCTCGTGCCCCAAGGCAAGGTGTCCCCTGGGCCAGTGACATCCAGTCACCCAGGGAGCTTGTTAAAAATGCAAGCTTCAGCATGCCCTCCCTACTAACCCTCAATCCCACCCCATCCCACGTCAGCAGAGAGTAGACGAAATATGGTCTAAGAGGCACCAGCTTCCTTCATCTTCCGAGTTCAGCTGGGTTGTGCGTATTCATCCACTCACTCAACAATAGGCATGTGTTGATTGCTCACTATCTATCAAGCACCAGGGATACGAAACTGCACAAGACCCAATCCCTTCCCTCAAGGAACTCAGAGACTGAAGTGGGGGCGACAGGTGTTTACACAGATGACTGCAGGCTAATTGTGAACTCTTACAACAGAGGTAAGAACAAAGTGCAGTGGGAGAGGGGAGAAAGCCAAGGACTCTGTGTCACCGGCCTGTGGTTATGTGCTAAGACAAAGCAACACAAGGTTAGCTGTGAAGGGCTAAAAAATGGCACATGTACGTTTAATGTAAAATTAAGTGCAGTTTCTCAAGGAAGTTGATGAATGTGATACTTGCAATGTTGGTTGACATTTACCCCCTATCATGGGAACCATTATGATATGATGCTAATGACCATGTGAAAATCATAAGACATAAATCTGCTGAGGAAATCAGAAATTGCCTCAAAAGTTTGTGGTTATTTTTAAAAGAGTGTATCCAAAGATGATGCTTTACCTTGTGTAGCTACAGAAGGTCCATTGATCATTATGTGAGCACAACTTTTCATTTAGATCAAATGAGTTTCCTTCTATTCACTTTTCTATTAGACAATTTTTTTTTTTTGTAACCAAAGGAAAGCTTTAATGTGTTGGCTCCATGAGCACAAAAGGAATTTTGTAAACAGTTAAATGAGGCCAGTTTATATCAGTGTCTTCAGATGCTTCAAATAGAAAAATCACATAAGTTAATCAGAATAATGGCTTGATTTTTGGGGTTTGATTCTTCCTGGAATCAAAGCAAAGCTTTTTGATATTCAATTTTGGAAGATAAAACCTCTAGCATTATTATAAATATTACTATAAATTCAGCTAAAAAAATTCAGCAATTGGGACCGGCCCGCTGGCACAGTGGTTAAGTTCGTGTGCTCCACTTCAGCGGCCCGGGGTTCACGAGTTCAGATCCCAGGAGACGACATATATACTGCTGTTAAGCCATGCTGTGGCAGATGTCCCAGATATAAAGTACAGGAAGGTGGGCATGGATGTTAGCTCAGGGCCAATCTTCCTCAGCAAAAAGGGGAGGATTGGTGGCAGATGTTAGCTCAGGGCTAATCTTCCTCAAAAAAAAAAAAATTCAACAATCAAGTGTCCAGTTTTGGTTTTGTATGGATAACATAAATGCAAATTTGGTGGAGCACAGCATCAGGGTACAGATAATGTTCTTAGTAAACTGAGAAATTTACAGAGAAATGTACTTAAAGTTGGTTGTGGTACATACATAATTCACAATTGTATCTAAGCAAGCTACAATATTTTATTAATCAGAAGAAGAGCTGTAGTTGTGCAAATTTAAATATTTTTGTATATTCCCAGAGAAACTGAACTGCACAATTTTTACAACAACATGGATGCTAAAGAAATGCTTCAGCATAGCAGTCTACGTTGTCTGTCTTTGTCACAGATCATCAACCAGAATTTTAGAAATATCTGAGCCTTTCAAGAACTATCTTGTATATCAAATGATACATCCTACAATGATCCTGAACTTTTTTGGTAAATTATCTGTCTAACTTTGGTTGAATTTTGTTTAAAATAGTTGAAATTTTTTTTTTTTTGAGGAAGATTAGCCCTGAGCTAACATCTGCCACCAATCCTCCTCTTTTTGCTGAGGAAGACTGGCCCTGAGCTAACATCCGTGCCCACCTTCCTCTACTTTATATGTGGGACGCCCACCACAGCCTGGCCTGACAAGCTGTGCCATGTCCACACCCCAGATACAAACCAGTGATTCCTGGGGCCACCGAAGCGGAACGTGCGAACTTAACCACTGCGCCACCGGGCCGGCCCCTAGTTGAAAAATTTTAAACAAACTATCTGAAATACAGAATGCCAAAAAAACTTTAGTTTTTGAAGATTTAATGAATTGTAATTACTGAAAACAAAGCTTTTAAACAAGAAGACATTGAAATTTACCCCTATAAAAGCAAGGGAGTAAGCGAACAGACTATATAATGAGAGTTCAAAATGTGAACATTTAATTTTTAAATTCTATAATTATGCTTTGGAATATCTCAACTTATGTGAAAACTCTTTTGATGGAGCTCCTATTTTTAAAGGGATAAAATTTTCTTCTCTACCAGAATTAAATGATATCAAGAAGATCTAAGATTCTGTAGCATCTAAATTTAGGAACACATTCAAAAGAATCATAAATAAGAAACTGTGAAGTCAAAAAGACAATGCCTATAAAAACACTTGGGTTACAATACTAGCATATTTCAATATTAAAAAAATGTAAAATGAGAATATCTTCCATTGAGTAAAATTCGCTGTGAGCATGACAGGTATCTCAGCACCTATAGATATTTCCTCAAATGAAAAAAACCATTAAGGTCAGAAGAGAAGATCGATTAAAGGTGTCAACATGGGGCCCGCCCGGTGGTGCAGCAGTTAAGTGCACACATTCCGCTTCGGCTGCCCGGGGTTCATGGGTTTGGATCCCAGGTACGGACATGGTACCGCTTGGCAAGCCATGCTGTGGTAGGCGTCCCACATATACAGTAGAGGAAGATGGGCATGGATGTTAGCTCGGGGCCAGGCTTCCTCAGCAAAAAAGAGAGGACTGGCAGTAGTTAGCTCAGGGCTAATCTTCCTCAAAAAAAAAAAAAGTGCGCCAGTTTGGTTGATAAAATTACATGGTCACCCTAATTAGAGATGAAGCAACATGTTCTTAAAACAGTGCCTTTTTCCTAATGGTAAGTTGGAAGGAACCAGGGCACCAATCATTCATGCTTCTGATAAGTATGTGGTGGAGGCGCCCATAGGCAGGGCAAGTTAGAACAAAAAGGAGGTCGACCAAGAACGAAAGACGGAGGAACCCTAAACACCTCCCCACACATAAAACCAAAGTTCCATAAACAGGTGAGAACATTGACCTGATGCACGGATCTCACCTGCAAACGCACTAGAAAGATTACTGGAACTTGGATTCCGGAACTTGATATACTTATCTGTCCACCACGTAATCCCACTCCTTAGCATGGGGACTTGGATGTGCACAGATGAATTAAGCTTGTATGAAAGAATAATGGTGTCTGCAGGGAAAGTAAAAATTGTGTTACAGATGCATGCAAGCATTTCTGCTACCCTTTAAAGTGCAGAACCAGACAGAGCTGAAAAATAAACCAGGGTCTTAGCGGACTCTCAACACACCTCCCATGCCACAGATGCTGGAATCACAGGACTATTCTTTTTCTTGCCAAGCCCCCAATTATTGAAAAATATTTTAAGCTCCACTTAACTCACGTTCCTTAACTACTTCAAATCTCTAGTAAGGGAGAACTTATTTGCAAATAAAATACTGTAAGTGAGTGGATGATATATACGGAATTTTTTTTAAACTGCCACTGAGCTGCAGAGGGGACCTTCTGGACATTTAGGCTGTTAGACACTTATGAAAGAGTACACGATGGAGATAGGAGAAGTCACCTACCATTGAAGAGGCTGTTGGCAATAGCACCACATGGAGCAATGGGGGTTCCATCGTGGGACTTGCTGAATGGAGCACATGTTTCAACATCCTGGATGCAAGATGATAGAGGAATGAGAAGTGCTTTTGGTAAACTCTCTTAGAACGTTGAAAGTGAGAGCACTGGCAATGTAAATCAACCCACAGTGATGTGCTGGCACAGAGCAAGGTTAGGGACTGCTGCCTGTTTGTCCCAGGCTTCTGGCTTACTCAGACTAGGAATTTCTGTGTTTTGGAGATGTGTGTGTATATGTGTAGATTTTTTCCCTCATTAACAATGCATTACATACCAAATATGTCTGCAGGAAGGACCTGTACCTTGCTGGTTGTGATAAATATCACACTAAGCCTACACGGGAATACTTTTTTTTTTTTGCTGGGAAAGATTCACCCTGAGGTAACATCTGTTGCTAATCTTCCTCTCTCTCTGTTTTTTTTTGAGGAAGATTAGCCCTGAGCTAACACCTGCCACCAATCCTCCTCTTTTTGCTGAGGAAGATTAGCCCTGAGCTAACATCTGTGTCCATCTTCCTCTACTTTATATGTGGGATGCCTGCCACAGCATGGCTTGACAAGTGGTGCCCCATCCGCACCCGGGATCCGAACCGGCGAACCACGGACTGCGGAAGCGGAACGTGTGAACTTAACTGCTGTGCCACTGCGCCAGCCCCCTCTCTCTATTTTTTTCCTCCCCAAAACCCCAGTACATAGCTGTATATTCTAGTTGTATGTCCTTCTAGTCCTTCTCTGTGAGCCGCCACAGCATGGCTACTGACAGATGAGTGGTGGTTCTGTGCCCAGGGACTGAACCTTGCCTGCTGAAGGAGAATGCGCCCAAATTTAACCACGAGGCCAGCAGGGCTTGCTCTGGAATACATTTTTAAAAACTTTTTTTGTTTGTTTTTGAAGTGTAACATATTCCAAAATGTATACAGATTGAGGGTCTTCAGCTAGATGCCTTATCACAGAGGATCCACACACCAAATTACCAGGATATATTTTTAAAAGGGTGCTTGCTAAAAATCACTTGATTACCACTTCATATACTGATGTCAGTACGGAAAAGGTTTCTTTCTAGCTTTTCTTGCTAGCACGCTGAGTATCATCTATCAAGAGTAAAATTTTGGGCCAGCCCGGTGGCGCAGTGGTTAATTTTGCACATTCCGCTTCTCTGTGGCCCAGGGTTTGCCGGTTTGGATCCTGGGTGTGGACATGGCACCGCTTGGCAAAAGCCATGCTGTGGTAGGCGTCCCACGTATAAAGTAGAGGAAGATGGGACGGATGTTAGCTCAGGGCCAGTCTTCCTCAGCAAAAAGAGGAGGATTGGCAGTAGTTAGCTCAGGGCTAATTTTCCTCAAAAAAAAAAAAAGTAAAATTTTGTATTCCTAGTTCTGAAAGAGTATTTAATTAAACCAAAAGCTTTTTATTTATTCAATCAAGTAGAGACCAATTTTCTTCAACTTGGCTGGACTGAAGGCCCCAATTACAGGAAGGACACTGGTAGACACAGTGAGCCAGACTGAAACCAGCCGCTCAAGGTCCCACTCTAAATGGTTGGAGCATGAAAAGGTCACCTCTCACCTGGACGAGATTGACCTTACTGCTCTGAAGAGGGAAAGTGGTCCTTCTGAACAGCAGTCATCCTGAACACCAGCCCCTCAGTTTATGCAAGGATGAAATGCACATTTCTGTCTTGTAAAACCTTAGCTTTTGAATTTATTTTTCATACCATCTTTTAGACTGAAAGGTCCACCTGGTTTAATAAAAAAGGAGTATTATACCAAATGAAATAGAGCCTTACCTTTACATCTGTACCCAACAGCTGGCTATTACTTCTGGATAGAAGATATCCATGGAGGTTCTGATAGAAGCCATACAATTTGTAGTACATATAAACATTACCCTGTATGGGAGAAAAGCAGACAGTAAGAAGAGAGTAAGGAAAACTAACTGGAATATTAATAAGAATGGACAGGATTTTTTAAATATAAAAAGTAGATGAGAACGGAAAGTTTCTTTATATCAAATAGAAACCCAAGAAATGATTATTAAAAATTACATGTAGAAAAGCCCTATTCTACACAGAATTATTAAAATGATGAAATAACTTATTTTTAATGTTTTTGTAAGTGCTACCGCACTCCTGCTTTGAAAATTTTTTATAATCAGGCTTTGTATTTCTCAATACGTAAAGTTTGATTTTACAAATAGTGCTATTTCCTAGCAAAACTAGGAAAATTGCTTTGCCTAGGGGTTGTAGTAGGCATCAAAAGTCATGCGCTCTCAAAGCAAATCCATGACACCTCATTCAAAACTGGAGCCATTGAGCACCTCGGTGCTTGTGCACACTGGACATGGGAAAGGAACGAGACCAGCTCCCCGTAGTCCAGCTCCAGGTGTTTCATCTTTCGTCCCTAGGACCTAGCATGGCCTGACACACAGTACCTGCTCAAGAAATGGTGAGCCATTTGTTATTGACAAAAAGATGGAATAATTCACTGATCCCAAAGAAGGGTGATTTTCACATTAGCAATAAGTGGTCCTGTTGCCATGAGAGATACGCCTTTTCCTGTATACTGTTGTATGAGGCTGCCAATTACAGGCTACCATCGCACTCCTACCCTTATGGTGACATAACAAGGCCCTGGAAATTCTCCAGGCAGACTTGATACAGGTTTTGCTAACAGCACATATGATGCAAATAGAAATGTCTGACGTAGCTGTTTATAATTAATATACTACCTACCTCCAAAATAATGAAGGCCTGAGTCCAAGAATATGAAGGCCTAACTTTTATTAAGTGCCTCCTATATGTTAGGTGCTATCTTCAGTGCTAGAAATATGTAAGTATTCCTTTTCAACTCCCCAAGTCGACTGATCTTCTTACACTATCCAAAGCCAGCATTTTGGAAAGGCTTTGGCTTCTCCCTAAGGACATTTAAGAGCATGAGTATGGAAAATAGGAGCTGGAAATAAAGGTCATGGTACGAGCGGCCAGTTATGGAAACCAACAAAGGCTGAAGAGATGAGACCCCTGTGAGAGAACCGTCTCTGGAACACTGAGAAGGGGAGATGCTGGGCTGTGACAAAGAGGCAGGCTGCAGAAGGCGAGGGTATGAAAGCCCACAAGCCGGGCGTGGCCACACGACTGATTACACATCCTCACCCACAGAGGGAAGCTCTACTGTTGACCCATAACTATAGAAAATAGCAAATCCACAGAACAGAATTTATCACACATTTTCTCAGAAGCTAAAAAGAGAACTTTACTTACCCACAGTTACCTAGACATATAAATGACAATAAACAGGCAGAGACTACTCCCTACCCCATGGACTGGGGTGTTTTAATAACCTCTTTTCAATGATTCTTTGTCCAAGATCTGGCCTAACAAGTCATCTTTCTGATGACTCCTGGAGGCACAGCGCGCTTTGTGGTTCTGCTCTCTCTCCAGTCAGTGGCACTTTGTGCAGGATTCCATGCCAAGGGCAGATCTCGCCTGGACTCGTCGTCCAGGTGTGTAACGTGCGCCTGCCTGTGAGTCCAAGGCCCTGTGGCTGCCTTGAGCAGTTGGTTGGATTTTTACAAGGAAGCCTTTGCCTGAAAGGAATGGTTAGCAGCTGGTAACACTTCAATTGCCTTTAGGGTTTCAAAGGACACAGACAGATGGGAGCGGAAGCCCATTAAGGTTTTATCTTTTGGATTTTTTCCTTAAAAATTGAAGCACTCTGAGCCTCCAAAAGAGAACCAACCCTGCTGACACCTTGATTTCAGACTTCTGACTTCCAGAACTGTGAGAGAATCCATTTCTGTTGTTTTAAGCCACACTAACTTTTGCTTTGGGGGGCAGCACGGTGAGACGGGGAAGGCAGGAAAGGGCACGGCTGCGGAGGACTAGAATTTTGACCTACAGTGAAAGAACACACACATAAGACTTCCCCCACCGACTTTATCTAGATTTCACTTATGACCCAAGTACAACTCAGTAACTGCCCTATAATTTATAACTGACTCACCCAGATACAAGGATGAGAGCTAGCCATAATCAAACAGATGTATTCAGAATAGTTCTGATGCCAGGACGCATTTGTCTGGGATCAAAGGGGAATAACAAAGAGACACAGAAATTCAGAGCTACCTAGAACATGAAGCCATGTAATTGAGCACTTTCTCTTTCCTCTCTTCATTTAATCTTTCAGCAAACAATTTCTGAGCATCTACCAGGTAAAATATACTGTGCTGTGCACTGTGGAGGAAGCAAAGATTCATATGTCCATTCAGTAAACATTACTTGAGCACCTATGGTGTGTCAGGCATTGTTGTAGGTCTTGGGCTACAACAGTGAGAGACAGACAATAAATAATAGATATAGCAAACCCGTAACTTACATAGTACATTAGAAGGTGATAAGTACCATGGAAAAACTGAAATTCCAGCAGGTCACCAGGATCAGGAGTGCAGGGTGGGTGAGCAGACAGGTTGTAGCATGACATAGGATGGCCAGTGCAGGCCTTACTGAGGTAGGAATGAGCCAAGACCTGAAGGAGGTAAGGGAGTTACCCAGGTGGTTATCAGGAATAGGGAGCAAGGCAAGAGAATGCCTGACTTGTTGAGGAATGGGGAGTCCAGTGTGGCAGGAGTGAGGGTGAGGGGAAGAGAGCGGAGGGGTCAGGTCAGAGAGGAGATGAGCCAGATCCTGTAAGGCTTTGTAAGGACTTAGGCTTTTTCACTGAGTGGAAAGAGGGGCCGTTGCAAGAATTTTTTGAGCAAAGGAATGACATGATATGACTTATTCTGCAAGAAGTTCACTGTGGCTGCTCTGTTGAGACACGGATATGAGCAGGGCGGCCTGACAGGATCCAGGTGAGAGGTGAAGGTGGCTTGGAGCTGAGCAGTATCAAAAGAGGTGGGAGAAGTGGGCAGACTGGTATATTTTGAAGGTAGAGCCAACAGGATGGATTGGATGTGAGCTGCGAGAGAATGAAAGGAGTCAAGAATGACTCCTAGGCTTTTGGCTGGAGCACCAGAAGTATGGACCTGTTTCAGCTGAGATTGAGAAGTCTGCAGGTGGAATAGGGTTTTCTCGGGGAGCGGGTGGCAAGCGGGAGGAGCGGATATCAGAAGCTTAGTTTTGGAAACGTTGAGCTTCAGATATCTATTAGACATCCAAGTGGTGACATGAGGAAGGCAGTTGGAAATTCAACTGTAGATACTGGAAGAGCGGTTTGGGCTGGAGATATAAAACAGACTGTTGTCAAGAGACGGCATTGAAAGCCAGCGGGGAGACGACATTTCCAAGGAAGGGAGTGTATACAGAGAGGAGAAGAAGACCGAACACTAAAGCCCTGTGGATCTCAACATAAAGAGTTTGGGGAGAAGAGGAGGAACAGCACAGGAACCAAAGAAGGGCAGCCAGAGAACTAGAAGAAATCCAGGAGAGTGTGACTCCTGAGAGGCAGAGAAGAAAGCGTGTCATGGAGGAGGGGTGACCACCCACGGGTAGTGAGTAACAAGGCACGAAGCACTGACTGCTGGATTTATCCATGTGGAAGCCATTGGTTTCCTCGCAATGTCACTGAGTGTTGGGGGCAAAACATGACTGGAGTGGGTTTAAGAGAATGAGAAGAGAGGAACTGGAAATAGCCAAGATAGACAACTCTTTTGAGGAGTTTTCCTGCTAATGGGAGGAAAGAAATGGGCAAATAGCTTGCAGGGAAATTGGGAGAATAGAAGAGCGTTTTTTTTTTTTTTTTTAGATAAGTGAAATAATATGTTTGTATGCTGGTAGGAATGATCCAGTAGAGAGAAAAGTTGATGACATAGGGAGGCGAGAACGGCTGAGTTAAGCCCTTATAAAGGCAAGAAAGATGGCATCTATGCACAAGTGGAGAGACAAGCCTTCAGACAGGAGCGTGGATAGCTCACCGATGGGAACAGGCGGGAAGGTGGAGTGTGTCATGCAGATCCTTTGGGTGGGTGTGGAGTGGCACGTGAAGCATGGTCCCCGTCCTCAGGGAGGCTCCTAGAAGTGAAGAAATGAGTCTACACACAGGATATCACACTAGTGACTGTAAGTCCATCAGAAGCGTGGCACAGCACTCCCAGACATGAACGTGGGCAAATTCCTGCTGGAGACTTGAGTGAAAAGGAGGCCCAAGGAATGGCTGGGGCAGTGGGGGCTTACCACGAGTGAGCTCTCACAGGAGGCCCTGAGCAGGCAGACACTAGGTGAAGGAGCAGCAGGAACACAGCGGGTCGCATCACGAGAAAGCAAGTGGCCAGCTTGGCAGGAGGACAAGGTCTCTCCCAGCACAAGGAGAGAGAGATGAAGAGGTAGCTGGGCCTCAGGTGGCAGAACAGTCTGGAAGAGGCCTTTCTCAGGGAGAAACCAAAGCCTAGAAGTGCAGTTAGGCAGTTCTGATACTAGCTCAGGAGGGCCTGAACTGGACGATGGGACGAGAAGGGAGGGGAGAGGTGGCTGGGAGAGAAGAGGCTGGGACAGTGCCCGTGCGTCAGAGCCTGGACGAGAAGGGACTGGGTAGGGTAAAGTGAAGGAGGAAAGTTCTGAGTCTTGGTGATGGGATATTCACCAGAAGGGAAAGGAGTAGGGTTTTTCAGGAGATGACGACTTTGGTTTGGGACCAGCTGAGCTTGAGGTGGGATGTTTAGGAGAAGGCCTGCCTGCACTTGGATTCATGCCATGTGGAGTCATCTATGAAGGGGAAGGAGAGGGACCACCCAGGTCAGGGAGGAGGATGCTGTGCAGAGAGAGGTGCCGAGCCCAGAGGTCAGGGCAGGACAGGACCTTCGGGGGGCTGAAAGAAACACATTTTTCCTTTGATTCAGCTTGACTACCAGGTAGGATTGTAGAGGCCCTGCAAAGGCACCTCTGGGATCTCCTACTGCAGGGATGGCCCCAGCTGCTGTGCCTGAAATCACCCTGTGTTTGCACCAAGGCCTTGCTTCCCACGGCCACTCCCAGCCCTCAGCTGAGCACAGCGGGGATTCTGAGACAGGCTCCTTTGGTGACTCTCTCGGCCTTGCTGAAACTTTCTTAAGAATACACTGCAGTCTGAGACCTCCCCTCCTTCTCTGCACCCTCCTTTCCTTTCTACTCTCCTCTCCATCTTTCCCTCCTTCCCTCCCTCCCTCTTTCCTTCTCCCCTTCCTTCCCCTTCACAGGAGTCAGAGCTGTGTTGCTGTCTGACAGCTTTCCCAGCCTCCTCTGGCTCCCTCTTCATTTTCCCTCACAGGCAGTCTCCCCAATAAATCTCTTGCATGTCTAATCCTGCCTTGGCATCTGCTTCTCAGAGGACCTGGACTAACGCAGGACTTTAATCAGCCCAAGAGCAGGGACTTCTAATGTTTCTGCGGCATTTCTCACAGTGCCTGATAGCCAGGCCAAGAGTCGCTTTAGGAATTAAGTAACTGCATATGTGGAATGAGTTGGGGGGACCCAAGGAGAGTCTCACTAGGTCTGTGACCCCTGACACTAACTCACTGAGTGACCTTGGCCAAGTCACTTAATCTCTCAGCCCATTAATTTTCACCCATAAAATGAGTGGTTAGAGTCAACCATCTCTATGGTCCCCTCCTGTGCTGACATTTGGAGCAAAACCTGTTTGATTGATGTTAAGAATTAGGTTACAAAGTTGGGTAGGTAAAGAATCTGGAAACTAGAAACAAAGGAGAAGAATAAAGTTCCAAAGGAAAAAAAAAAAGGGAGAGAGTTGTGTAGGGACTCAACTCCGTGAGGGTCCCCAGCCCCACACTGCTTTCTTCTTGGTATTTCCAGTGTCGGGAAGCATTGGGTGGAAATCATGAGCTTACTGCCAAGTGTAAGACAAGAGGAGATCAGCAGAAGGCCCACTGCAGGCTCTTGACTGTCACTTACCCGCATTGTCTGTGTAAGGTGAAAGGGGATAGAGCAGGTGCACTCTTTGTCGAAATTCCTGGCATTTTCCCGCAGTTTTGCACAGCTGGCACATATTTTTGTGTAATTAATCTGTTAGGCAGGGAGAAGAACAGTTATTAGCTGAAAAGTTACATATCTTAAAATTCAAGTCCTGAGTCCACCAAAGTCTTCATGCTTTCTGGGTCAACGGCACGGAGTCCGGGACATGACGAGGGGCAGCCTTCCTCCGGAGGGCATGTCCTGCCGATGCTCGGGAGCAGTGCGGCTTCTTACGGTCTTTCATTTGGGGACTTGGCAGCATTTTGGCACTGCCCTGGGATTCAGGGTTTCCACTGCAGATTTAGGTAAGCTGTTGTGATGAGGCCTCATGCCGCAGCCACGAAGAGGTGTTTCTAGAAAAGTATCAGTCAATGACTCGTGAGAACTGGGCTTATGGCCTGAGTCTAATTAGCTTTGTGGGGAAGTCACTTCACTGTTTTTCCACTTTATTCCATGGAAAATATTTATACTAATGAATTCTTCTGCATGGCATCTAGAGGACGTTATTAAAAATGACCAAACATAGAAAAAGAAGTGTTTCTAAAATGTAGGGTTACTGATGCATGTGGACTAATTCTGATTTTAAAATGTAGCTACATTCTGTTTTTCAAAAGTTAAATTCTGTGAAAAATGGTATAGTGGACTCCATACAAAAGGGTAGTGTGTCTCAGATGGGCAAACCCTGTAAGTTGTGGCTGAAGGACTCAGCCAAGTGAAGGCGCAACTGGAGGAAGAAAGGGAGTTGAGGGAGAGGGCAGAGGCGGCGGTGCCCTCGTGCCCTGGGAGACGCTCGTCACAGGGGCCGAGCAGGTGCGGTGAGGAGCGGCCTGCCGCGGGCTGCTTCTCCTTCTCCCTTCCCGTTCCTCAGAGATTTCGGGGATGCGGGAGGAGCAGGGAAGCAAGGCAGCAGCTCTCTCCGGGTACACTGCCAGCGGGGTGAGGGGTCCTTGGCAGAGGAGACTGACAAGAAAAACGGAAGGAATTGTGAGTCCTTGCAAATGGTTTTGCAGTCAAATAGGTAAAGTGTTAGTGCGAAATTAAAGATTAGCCAAAAGGCTACTGAATTGTACTCAGATGCTTATATTTACTTAAATCATTCTTTAAAAATGCAGCGAGGCTTCAACTATTATTTTTGAACATATTGACGCCTTTTCTGTTTGTGAAACTGCATTTTAATTTTTAGAAAGTGTTGAAGAGTAGGGCTGTATGGTAGCTGAGAACTAGCACACTGAACTGTGACTGAGGGGCCTGGAGTTCTGCTTCAGCCGATCTCCGACTTTGACTGACTTAACCTCCAGGGCCTCCATTTTGTTCACCCGCACCATTTTGCCTAGCAATTAATTGATCCGTGAGGTCACTATAGTAGTGTACATTCTACTCCGTGGATTCTGGGTGCTCTATCAATGCAGAATCAGCAAAAATGTGTTTCATATGTGTTTTATGATCAAATGATTTTTGAATAGATATCTGGGTGCTTTCTAGCTCTAAAAATTTTATGAGGAAAACATATTTCTGATCTGTTGTCTACCTCATCACAGCAGCCTCAATTTGCTGCTCTAGTGGCCTTGTAAACCTATAGTTTTTTTTTTTTTTTTTTGCTGAGGAAGATTCACCCTGAGCTAACATCTGTGCCAATCTTCCTCTATTTTGTATGTAGGACACCAACATAGCATGGTTGGTGAGTGGAGGAGGTCTGTGCCTGGGATCCAAACCTACGAATCCTGGGCCACAGAAGTGGAGTGCACGGAACTTTAACCACTCGGCCACAGGGCTGGCCCCCATAAACCTATAGCTTTAAAATGAGAGCAAAGACCATAGTCTGCTCCTCATAGAATTTTGGAGGGGCAGGAATCATCATTCTTGCTGAAAGTGAACAACCTCCTTGTTGTGTCCCCAGGGCTCAGTGAGAAGAGGAAAGCCTGCTCAGAACGCTTCTCCCAGGTCTGTGCTTGGTCATGTTGGCCTGGAGTACCACTTCATCTCATCACCCAAGGTAATGAAGCACTTCCATGTACAAAAGAGGATCATGCTCTCTGGGTGGTTTCTGTTTTTCTTGGACAAAAGCAAAGTGCTAGAAACAGTCCTACCTGAAGTGACTAAAAAAAGTCAATTGGAAAATCCCCATAACATCATGATAAAAGCATTCTGTTCAAAGTCGTTTGCAGAGTGGCTTTAGCCATCCACGGAATGAAGTCCCTCCCCTGCATGAGGTGACATCCTTCGGCAATGGCTGCCTCTTCATGGAGGCTGCACTCCATGGTGGGTGGGGGTGGGTGACCAGAGGCAGGAAGCAGGGAGGACATGGGGTTGGTGGAGAAGGAAATAGAAAAGTAAATAGGATGAGCTGTTTGTGGAAATGATTATCAGCCTTGTAAGCCAATTACTTTGCTATCCTCTTCAACAAGGCAAGTTTCATTTCCTCCTGGCATCGTGCCTCTGCCACCTGGTGGGGCCTGGTAGTTTACATATCATTCTCAAGGACTCAAAAGGACTTAGAGGCACAATTCTTGAGGAGATAAGCTGCTGAGAGCTGGAAGGGGGACCAGGAAATATAAGTGGAAGGCAACAGAGCAGCATGCATTGGTAAAACGAGTGGGACCTGAAATGACATTCTCCTCTTTGAAGTCCTCACTTTGCCCCAATCCATTCTTTCGATAGCTACATGCCTATTATTATAGGGCAGTGTGCAGGGAAGGGGTTGTGGACATGGTCAACAGGGCAGTCACGGGGGAGCCCTCTGTTCTTACCACGCACTGTCTTACCTACTCTATCATTTGTTCACTGAGGGCAGGAATCAGCGCTTCCTTATCTTACTCATCTGCATACCCAACAGAACTCTTAGCCCCTCAGACACTCATGAATGTGAAATCAACGTTGGCTGACTTGGCCTTCATCGTAATTTTGCCACTAGCCATGTGGGGAGAGGAAACAGATCAGCTTTCCATGGCTGCCTTCAGAGTGGAGGTTGCACAGTCTGGGACGTCCATTAACCGGCTCTGAGCAGATTTGAATGAAACATTTACTTAATTCATTAGACTGAACAAGGGCATGGCCAGTCTAGCCATAGACCAGCTCTTGTCTCCCCTCCCCAGCCCAGCTTCTGGGATTCTCATCCTCCAACAGCTTGTTAATCAAACTGGCAAAAGGCTTGTGATGAGGGTGCCCTTAGCTTCAGCTTTTCTCACTCCAAGTAGAACTTGGTTTATTTTGCTACATGTCAAAAGGCCATAAAGATTTGGGTTCTTGCCTTTCTCAGGTTAAAGTAATGATCTCAGAGGGAGTTCACTTGCAAAGGGAAAGGCACAATGATGGAAAGTGGGGCAAAATTAAAGCCCTATATCTTTGGCTCTTTGCTCTTTTTTTTTTTTTTTGAGGAAGGTTAGCCCTGAGCTAATATCTGCTGTCAATCCTCTCTTTTTTTCCTGAGGAAGACCGGCCCTGAGCTAATATCTGTGCCCAGCTTCCTCTACTTCATATGTGGGATCCCTGCCACAGCATGGCTTGATCAGCTGTGGGTTGGTCAGTCCGCACCTGGGATCTGAACTGGCGAACCCTGGGCTACTGAAGCAGAGTGTGCAAACTTAACTGCTATGCCACTGGGCCGGCCCCTCTTCGCTCTTTTTATCACTATGACTCGTGGGCATCTGGCAGTCATTTGCTCCTGCCTCTCCTTTTCCTACCTCTGTCAATCGCTTGCTCAGTCCTCTGCCAACATAAAAAGCTTCTGACTCTGCCAGGCCCCTGTAAACAAATGTGGCTGAGCTGACCAGTGTGAGTGGCTGTCCTCAAGGAGGAGGGATGAATAAAGCCCCCACATGAAGGCTCTGCCACCATCTGCATCTGCCAGCTGAAGAAGGGGGGTCCCAGTCTCTAGCTCCCTGTTGAGGGACTGTGTTCTCAGACTGACCACTCACTTAGAGTCCCAAAGCTGAAAAGTCTTAGAACTTGCTTAGAAAATGTAAGATGGGACAAACCTCTATTTCCATGCTGCTCTTGGCAGACAATATAAGGATGACACCCATGCCAAGGCAGAACACTCCTGTGGCAAAAAAGCCAGAGAGGATTCCGGTGGCTGAGAGCTGTAGCCGGCAGGCCGGCAGCTGCTGCTGCTTCACGGCAGTGTTTTCTGGCAGTCTGGACGGGCAATCCTGGGGCGTCCTCTTCATTTGGGGCCTGCAGGTGACTGAGATAGACTTTTGAGACACGTAACTTTACTACTCATAGTAATACCACATAACGATAATATTAAATTAAGAATTATGTGAACTTTCCTTTGTAGTTGCAAAGTCTTTCTGCTTCCTGGAATTATTCCTTAACCAGACCTGATATTCATCAGGAGCATGGCTCTCTCGAATCAGCCATTGCTAGATATATTTTACTTAGGCTTAAAAAACTTGCGCTGAAGGCCATGCCCAGCAGGAATCGTCCCCAGCAGGGTCTGTGCAATCCTCCATCTGGCGATACTGGGAAGTAGTTCCAAGGGGCTATGGGAGTGGGATGTGGTGACTACTACAAGGCAAGCCCTTCTTGAAAGGGGGAGATTGGATTTATCTTTAAGAACTTGCCTAAATCCTTGGGGATTAAAACAGACAATAAAAGTGAGGGCTGTCAGCTTTTTTCCAAATGGAGCTGTCTTCTAATATGAATATAAACTAAGGTGGAAAAATGCTCAGATTATAGCTAACTTCGCTATTTGTGATCAGGAGGAAGGGAGAAGCAGGCAGGGACTGCAGAACACAGATATCTAATCTCAGTAGCTTCCAATTTTTTCATCCACAAGACAGACTCTAGTAGAAAATGCAGACTAAAAACATTTGTTCCTAATTTTTTCCCAAGCCCATGCTTTGGAGTAGCCCAAATGAGGCAAGAGAAAGGAGGAAGGCAATCAATTAAATGCTAAATACTGCAATACAGTATTATTGGGTTTATTTTTTTTCACTTATTAGAAGTCCAGTAACATCATTTTCACTCAGCGGTTAATAATTACTTCTTCTTCTTTAAGATGCATTTAAAGATGTAGAACTAGGGATTTAAAAAAATTAGGCAGCATGTGAATTTCTAATCTCTCCCCTTTTTCTTAACATTAGGCAGAGAAGCCATGTTGGATTATTTTTATATTAAAGAAGGCAATGACTTTGGCAAATCTACCTAGTTTAAAGGAATACAAAATAAACGCAATTACTTACACTAGGAGGTTTCCAATTCAGAGTGAAAGCTTCCCACTTGCAAAATTGGAAAAAAAGCACAATACCAATGGGAATTTTTCAGCATGCCATTGAAATCTGGCTTGGAGGTGGTGACAAGTATGGCTGTTATAGCCTTGTGTAAGGAGACTGCAGTGAACACTTCCAGTTCACATCTATTATTTATTTTACTAAATAAACATGGTCAAATGCTTGGGCTTAAAAGACAGTAAGAGCCTATGAGATTAGATTATATGTGCAGAGTTGGCCTACAAAATATCAGGTGTGTTTGCAATCTACGTCCTTGTTCCAACATTGGGTGGGATTATACTACACAGGCAACACCTCGCAGAGTCATTACAGTAACAAATCAGGATTTCTTAGGCTTTTAATAAAACAACAAAATCAACTAACCCAAATTCCAAACTAACGGGAGCTTCACCGGAAAATATTAGTCAGGGTTCTCCAGAGAAACAGAACCCATAAGAGATATATCTGTCGATCAATCTAGAGATCTATTTCTGTCTATCTCAGATATAGAGATCTATCATGAGAAATTGGCTCACATGATTATAGAGGAGGCTGGCAAGTCCGAAATCTGAAAAGCTGACGTCCCAGCGTGAGTCTGAAGGCCCAAAGCTGCTGTAGAGCAGTAAGAGCTGCTGACTCAGTTTGAAGGCCACCAGGCAGAAGGAGTTTCCGTTGGAAGGTGGAATTCTCTCTTGCTTGGGGGAGGGTCAGCCTTTGGTTTTATTCAGGCTTTCAACTGACAAGATAAGGCCTAGCCACATTGTGAACAGCAATCTGATTTGCTCAAGTCCTCTGATTTAAATGTTAATCTCACCCCAAAACACTCTCACAGAAACACCCAGAATAATATTTGACCAACTATCTGGGCATCCAGTGGCTCAGCCAAGTTGACATACACATCACAGGTCATAAGTGAAACATTTCTGGGGCAACATTCTTGAGCGATAGCCAGATACACATTTTACAGGTACTTTAACATTCACGTATTGCTCTCTTCTAAATAAATCTACTTCAAGTCTACAAATATACTTCATTTGTTCTTTTCAAATTTCTATAATTGGGTTCCTCAACCTCAGCACTATTGGCATTTTGGACCAGATATTTCTTTGTTGTGGGGGCTGTCCTGGGGGACTGTAGAACGTTTAACAGTACCCCTGGCCTCTACCCACTCATGCCAGTCACAACCTCCCACTAGATGCCTGTAGTAGCCCCCTAGTTGTGACAACCAAACATCTCTCCAGATGTGGCAAATGGCCCTTTGGGGTCAAAACAGCTTTGGGTTGAGAACCTCTGTTCTGCATTGATATGGATATGACAACTTGTTAGTGGCTGTTGTATTGTGTTATCATTAGAAACTTCAGAAAGTGATTTTTTAAGTCCTTGCTTTCATTTCTCTTTAATTGCTGTGTGGACAGCCTCCTTAGGCATTACCAAATATTACGTACATAGGGGTTGCCTCGTATTTCACTGCCTTTCCCCATTAACTGCTGGGATGTAAATGTACCAAACATGAGTGTAGAATCAGGAAGTGGTTGAATGTGTGGGGTACACTCACACACACCCATACTTATATGCACACATAATATTCACAATGGTCTCATTTTTTGGTTTCGGCAAGTCAATAGTGGCTTGGTGGATTGGTTTGAGTTCTGATAGCATAGACCGCCTGGCTCAATTTGCAGATCTGTCGTCTTATACAATCATGCTTGATGTTTTGTTCCAGATGAACCTAAGATACATCAATTGACAAGAAGTTAAATGCCTGTACTGGGAAGGCATGGGATTCATTTTTTCTTTTACCATTGGCCAAGAACATGTCACATGTTAGGATTAAAGGGATGAAAATAATTGAGCTAAGTTTAGCTATAGCTTGAGTGAATTTTCATTCTGTAGTGGCTTTTCCCTCTTCTTCCTCACTTGTTAGACTTGAGTCAGGATCCTGCAGAATGGAATTTGCTCCTCTTTCCTTTGAGTTCCTTTGTGTGGCTCCAGCCCACAGAGATGCCTGAACAGCAAGTTGTTGGTGAAGTCGCTGGTGTGCAGAAGCATGTGATTTGCTGGGGTTTGATTTGCTAAACTGTGGGCTCATTTAAAATTTGATAATATTTGAATGTGGAATTTTATATACAGTAATGGTGTCTGCTTAATTATCTCTTTTTTCTTGTATAGGTCGGAGTCCCTGTACAGACCACCATGGTGTCCTGAAGTAAACAGGGGAGATCTGGATTTGACTTCTGGTTCTGCCACTGAAACTCGTGTATGTCTTCTCTAAGACTTGGTTTCATCACCTATAAAAGGTGAATAATAACACTTTTCCTTCAGGACTATTTCAATGATTAAACATACATAAACGTGTAACTGAAAACCCTAAACACAATGCTTGACACAGAGTGGGTAACCCATGAAAGTTATAAATGGGTAAAAAAGTAAGTGAATTGGAGCAACAAAAACCAATAGTATTGGGCTGTCACCCATAAAACAAAATAAATATCCATGAGTCCATATTGATGTAAATAAATAATTGAACAAACAAGTAAATGGGGAATGGGAACAGCTCTTTCTTACAGAATTCCAATTAATAAAAGCTGAAGGAATGAAGGAAATAGAAAAATAACTACAGTAATAACTGTTGCAGGGAAGAACTACCAATGTTGCTAAAATTAGCGGGCAAAGTATGAGGAAAACTAGGATATTTGCATAGCCTCAAAGTATTTCCCCCCAAATAGATACTACTTACAAAGGGAAAAATAGTAACTTTTCAGTGGAGAAAATCAGCAGATGCCACCTTATGCAGGTGGTCAAGGTTGACATCACCAGTAATAAGACACATCAACATTACGCCCTTTGATATGAAATATCGAGAAAGACATCACTTCTGTGGTATTCTGGCAAAAAAACGCAGAACCTCAATCAAATCATGAAAAGAGAAAGGAGAAACCCAAACTGAGGGACATTCTACAAAATACCTGATCAGTATTCCTCAAAAGTGTCAAAGCTGAGAGAGAGCCTGGAGCTGGGTCTGACAGCACAAGAAGGCAGGCAGGACAGAAGGATGGACGATGTGAGGAAGGTGGCCTGGGGCACAGCTGCTTTGATGAGAAATCCACAAGAAAGAATGAGTGAAAGAAAAAGATGACATCTGTGCATGGCAAACAAAATCCAAAGATTATTACATTGAAAATGAAAGAAGGTAAGACAATATTTAACTAAAGAAAAAGTGACATCAGCATCATGGCAGAGTGAGCTCTTGCCTTAGACTCTCCTGCTAAGATACAACAAAAAAGACACACATAAACCAACAGAGGACATACACACAAAACAATAGATGTATGAGAGACCCATGGAGCCATATGTCTGAAGGTGGAGGGGCTGGACCCTCTGGGAGGAAGTGGAGGGAGGTAAGAGGATCTCCTCTTTCTCCCCCAACAGCACTGACCCAGGGTGTGGGACTGTGCACAGCTCTAAGAGGAGGTGGGAAGGGGGCAGTTCTCCCCAGGAATGCCTCCCAACCTGTGGGAAAGCTCCACACCAAGGAGACTAAGCAATCATGGGGGTGAATTCACCACACCGAGCAGCCCAGGAGGGCAGACAAGACAGCAATGAACCTGAGATTGTACATATAAAAGAAAGGGCTCCTCCCTCCGCCTGGTGCACCAGCTTGGCCAGTTGGCCAAGGCAAGGAACCCCCACCAGAATGCGAGAGTATAGCATTTGTAAAGCAGCCGTGGCCAGCAGGCAAACATAGATGGACTCTGTCAGCACACCTTCCAAAGGGACAGGCACAGCTGCTAGGGATCATGGTGGGCTCAGAATAGATAGCTCCTGTGCTCCCCCCAAGTGGTGGCAGGTGGAATCTGTGACCAGATACTATCTCTGTGTGGAGGTGCAAATCCACTCCATCAAATAGTATGAAGAGGTATATTAATACTCCAGACCAGAAGGAAAATGACAAGCACCCAGAAATCAATCCTGAAGGCACAGAAATTTACAATCTAAATGACAGGGAAATCAAAATAGCTACCATAAAAGAACTCAATGAGTTACAAGAAAACTCAGAAAGTTCAATGAAGACAGGAATAAAATTAGAGAATATAGAGAAATCTTCACAAAAGAGATGGAAAAATATAAAGAAAAGCCAATCAGAAATGTTGGAGATAAAAAACACAATGAATGAGATAAAGAAAAATCTGGAGTCCTTAAACAATGGAGCTGATACAATGGAGGACAGAATTAGCAATGTGGAGGACAGAAATATAGAAATGCTTCAGATAGAGGAAGAAAGAGAACTAAGACTAAAAAAGAAATGAAGAAATTCTCAGGGAAATACCTGACTCAATTAGGAAAAGCAACATAAGGATTATAGGCATTTCAGATGGAGAAGTGAGGGAGAAAGGAGCAGAGAGCTTGTTCAAAGAAATAACAACTGAGAACTTCCCAAACCTGGGGAGGGGAAGGGAGTTACAAGTAAAAGAAGCTAACAGAACTCCTAATTACATCAATATAAAAAGGCATCCTCCAAGGCATATAGTAGTAAAACTGGCAAAAGTCAATGACAAAGAAAAAATATTAAGGGCAGCTAGGCAGAAGAAAATAACCTACAAAAGAACCCCTATCAGGCTTTCAGTGGATTTCTCAGCAGAAACTCTACAGGCTAGGAGAGTGGACTGATATATTCAAAATTCTGAAAGTCAAAAACTTTTAGCTAAGAATACTCTATCCAGTGAAAATATCTTTCAGATACAATGGATAAATAAATCCTTTCCCAGACAAACAAAAGCTGAGGGAGCTCATTGCCACAAGACTTCCCTACAAGAAATGATCAAGAAGGCCCTCATACTTGAAAAACAAAAGAAAGGGTTTACAAAGTCTTAAGCAAGGAGATAAATAGGCAGACAAAATCAGAAAATTGCAGCTCTCTATCAGAAAAGGGCAGCAAACACTTAATTACAACAGTAAACGTAAAGGGAAGGAAAAAATAAAAAATAACTATAATCACTTCATTTTAACCACAAACTCACAACACAAAATGGAATAAGTTGTGACAACAGTAACCTAGGGGAAGAGGAAAGGGATAAAACCTGCTTAGACTAAGAAAATAAGAGGCTATCAGAAAATGGACTATCTCATCTACGAGATCTTTTCTTTTAGGAAGATTAGCCCTGAGCTAACTACTGCCAATCCTCCTCTTTTTGCTGAGGAAGACTGGCTCTGAGCTAACATCCATGCCCATCTTCATCTACTTTATACGTGGGATGCCTACCACAGCATGCCTTTTGCCAAGTGGTGCCATGTCTGCACCCAGGATCTGAACTGGCGAACCCCAGGCCGCTGAGAAGGGGAATGTGTGAACTTAACCGCTGTGCCACCGGGCCAGCTCACATCATCTATGAGATCTTTTATACAAACCTCACAGTAACCACTAAATGAAAGATGAGAACAGAGATAAAATGATAAATAAACAGAAAACTGAGAAAACCATCATAGAGAACCACCAAACTGAACTGTCAGTCCAAAATATATGGGATGAGAAACAAGGGAAACACAGAACAACCAGAAAACAAGTGATAAAATGGCAGCATTAAGCCCTCATATATCAATAATCACTCTAAATGTAAATGGATCAAATTCTCCAATCAGAAGTCACAGAGTGGCTGGAGGGATTAAAAAACAAGATCCAACAATATGCTGCCTCCAGGAAGCATAGCTCCAAAGACAAACATAGGCTCAGAGTGAGGGGATGGAAGACGATACTCCAAGCTAACAGCAAACAAACGAAAGCAGGCATTGCCATACTTCTATCAGACAAAGTAGACTTCAAGATAAAAAAGCCAATGAGACACAAAGAAGCACAGTATGTAATGATGAAAGGGACACTCCACCAAGAGGACATAACACTTACATATGCACCTAACATAGGATCACCAAAGTACATAAAGCAACTATTAACAGACCTAAAAGGAGATATTAACAGCAACACAATAATAGCAGGGGACCTTAATGCCCCATTTACATCAATGGATAGATCATCCAGACAGAAAATCAACAAGGGAATAGTGGAATTAAATGAAAAACTGGACCAGATGGACTTAATAGATATATATAGAACACTCCATCCAAAACCAGCAGAATACATATTCTTCCCAAGTGCACATGGAACATTCTCAAGGACAGACCATATGTTGGGAAACAAGGCAAATCTCAATAAAATTAAGAAGACTGAAATCATATCAAGCATCTTTTCTGACCATAATGTTATGAAACTAGAAATCAACTACAAGAAAAAGACTGGGAAAGGAAAAGAGATGTGGAGACTAACATGCTACTGAACAACCAACAGATCATTGAAGAAATGAAAGGAGAAATAAAAAAATATCTGGGGACAAATAAAAATGAAAATACACAATACCAACTTATATGGGATGCAGCAAAAGTGGTCCTAGCAGGGAAATTCATAGCAATACAGGCCCCCCTTAACAAACAAGAAAAATCTCAAATAAGCAATCTTAAACTACACCTAACAGAATTAGAAAAAGAGGAACAAACAAAGCCCAAAGTCAGCAGAAGGAGGAAAGTAATAAAAATTAGAGCATAAATAAGTAAAATTGAAACAAAAAAACCAGTAGAAAGGATCAATGAACTAAGCTGGTTTTTGGAGATGATAAACACAATTGACAAACCCTTAGCCAGACTCACTAAGAAAACAAGAGAGAAGGCTCAAATAAATAAAATCAGAACTGAAAGAGGAGAAATTACAATAGATACCACAGAAATACAAAGGATTATAAGAGAATACTCTGAAAAACTATATGCCAACAATTTGGACAATCTAGAAGAAAGGAATAAATTCTTAGACTCATACAACCTCCCAATACTGAATCAAGAAGAAATAGAGAATCTGAATAGACCAAACACAAGTAAAGAGATTGAAACAGTAATCAAAAACCTCCCAAAAAATAAGAGTCCAGGACCAGATGGCTTCTCTGGAGAATTCTACCAAACATTCAAAGAAGATTTAATACTATCCTTCTTAAACTATTCCAAAAAATTGAAGACGACGCAACACTTCCTAACACATTTTATGAGGCCGATATCACCCTGATTCCAAAGCCAGACAAGGACAACACAAAGAAGGAAAATTACAGGCCAGTATTGCTGATGAACATAGATGCCAAAATCCTCAAAAAAATATTGGCAAATCAAATACAGCAACATATTAAAAGGATCATATACCATGATCAAGTGGGATTTATACCAGGGACAAAGGGATGGTTCAACAGCTGCAAATCAATCAATGTGACACACCACATTAACAAAATGAGGAAAAACCACATGATCATCTCAATAGATGCAGATAAAGCATTTGATAAGATCCAACATCCATTTATGATAAAAACTCTGAACATAATGGGTATAGAACGAAAGTACCTCAACATAATAAATGCCATATATGATAAACCCACAGCCAACATCATACTCAATGGGGAAAAACTGAAAGCCATCCATCTGAGAATAGGAACAAGACAAGCGTGCCCACTTTCACCACTCCTATTCAACATAGTACTGGAGGTTTTGGCCAGAGCAACTAGGCAAGAAAAAGAAATAAAAGGTATCCTGGGGCCAGCCCCATGGCCGAGTGGTTAAGTTCATGCGCTCCGCTTCAGTGGCCCAGGGTTTGTATACTGGGTGCGGACACATCACCGCTCAGTAGGCCACATTGAGGCAGCGTCCCACATGCCACAACTAGAAGGACCCACAACTAAAATACACAGCTATGTACTGGGGGGATTTGGGGAGAAAAAAGCAGGGAAAAAAAAAAAAGAAGACTGGCAACAGTTGTTAGCTCAGGCGCCAATCTTTAAAAAAAAAAAAGAAATAAAAGGTACCCAAATTGGCACTGAAGAAGTGAAACTGTTTGCAGACAACATGATTTCCTATATAGAAAACCCTGAAGAATCCATCGGAAAATTATTAGAAATAATCAACAACTACAGCAAAGTTGCAGCGCACAAGATCAACTTAGATAAATCAGTTGCATTTCTATACTCTAATAATGAACTAACTGAAAGAGAATTCAAGAACACAATCTCATTTAAAATAGAAACAAAAAGAACAAAATACCTAGGAATAAATTTAACCATGGAGGTGAAAGATCTATGCAATGAAAACTATAAGACATTATCGAAAGAAATTGATGATGGTATAAAGAAATGGAAAGATATTCCATGCACATGGATTGGAAGAATAAACATAGTTAAAATGTCCATACTGCCTAAAGAAATCTACAGATTCAATGCAATCCCAGTCAGAATCCTAATGACATTCTTCACAGAAAAAGAACAAAGAATCCTAAAATTCATATGGGGCAACAAAAGACCCCTGGATAGCTAAAGTAATCCCGAGAAAAAAAGAACAAAGCTGGAGGCATCACAATCCCTGACTTCAAAATATACTACAAAGCTATAGTAATCAAAACAGAAAGGTACTGCCACAAAAACAGGCATACAGATCAATGGAAGAGAAGTGAAAGCCCAGAAATAAAACCACACATCTATGGACAAGCAATCTTCGACAAAGGAGCTAAGAATATACAATGGAGAAAGGAAAGTCCCTTCGACAAACAGGGCTGGGAAAACTGGATGGCCACACACAAATGAATGAAAGTAGATCATTATTTTTTGCTGTACACAAAAATTAACTCAAAATTGATCAAAGACTTGAAGGTAAGACCTGAAACCATGAGACTCCTAGAAGAAAATATAGGCAACACACTCTGACGTCAGTCTTACAAGGATCTTTTTGAATACCATGTCTATTTGGAGAAGGGAAACAAAAGGAAAAATAATGGGACTTCATCAGACTAAAGATCTTCTGCAAGGCAAAGGAAACCAGGAACAAAACAAAAAGACAACCCATCAAATAGGAGAAAATATTTGCAAATCATATATCTGACAAGAGGTTAGTCTCCAAAATATATAAGAACTCACACAACTCAACAATGAAAAAACAAGCAACCCGATCAAAAAACGGGCAGAGTATATAAGAACAGGTATTTTTCCAAAGAAGATATACAGATGGCCAACAGGCACATGGAAAGATGTTCAACATCACTAATCATCAGGGAAATGCAAATCAAAACCACAATGAGATATCACCTTACACCCATTAGAATGGCTGTAATCACCAAGACAAAAAATAACAAATGTTGGAGAGGATGTTGAGAAAAGGGAACCCTCATACACTGCTGGTGGGAATGCAAACTGGTGCAGACACTATGGAAAACAGTATGGAGATTTCTGAAAAAATTAAAAATAGAAATACCACACGACCCAGCTGTCCCACTGCTAGGTATCTATCCAAAGAACTTGAAATCAACAATTCAAAGAGACTTATGCATTCCTATGTTCATTGCAGCATTATTCACAATAGCCAAGACGTGGAAGGAACCCAAGTGCCCATCAGCTGATGAATGGATAAAGAAGATGTGGTGTATATATACAATGGAATACTACTCAGCCAGAAAAAAAGACAGAATTGTGCCATTTGCAACAACATGGATGGACCTTGAGTATATTATGTTAAGCGAATTATGCCAGATAGAGAAAGACAAAAACTGTATGATTTCACTCATGTGGAAGATAAACAGACAGACAAAGAGAACAGATCAGTGGTTACCAGAGGAGAAGGGGGTTGGGGGTGGGTATAAGGGTAAAGGGGCACATATATATGGTGATGGAAAAGTAGTAAAGTACAAGTGAAATTTCACAATGTTATAAACTATTATGACCTCAATAAAAAATTATAATAAATAAATACATAACTGAATAAATAAATAGGAAAAAAGTGTCAAGGTCACAAAAGAGAAGGAAAGACTGAGGAGCTGTGACTGACCCCAGGAAACTAAGGAGACGTGACAACGACATGCAATGTGGGATGCGGGCACAGAAAAAGGACATCCGTAGAAAAACTGGTGAGATCCGCATAGTCTGTAGCTTAGTTAATTGTCTTTGTATTGTACCAATATTCAGTTCTTAGGTTTGACAACTGTGCTACAGCTATACAAGATGTTAGCACAGAGAGAAGCTGGAGCAAGCGGATATGGGAATTCTCTGTAGTATTTTTGCAACTTTTCTGTAAGTCTGAAATTATTTCAAAATAAAAATTAAAATATGAGTCAGACAGTGTAGTTATATCACTGTCTTTCATATGTTTGCAAAGTGCCACACACACTTGCAGCTCTTTCTACCACTTGTCATCCTCATGCTGGAACCAGGCTTCAGTTTACAGATCAGTTCCATATGTACCATCTCACGGAATCCTCAAAAATCGTGTGAGATGTCATTCCCATTTCGCAGCGCAGGAGACTGAGGCTCAGAGAGGGAAGGGACTTGTTGAAGGGTGCCCAGCTGCTCTTTCCCTGCTCTTGCATAGTCACACCAGAGGCCAGTCGGTGAGAGAAAAATTCAGTCTGCTCAACACAATCATGCAAGCTAGTGATACTTTATTATCCAAGGGAGTTGGCAAAGGGCAGATCCATTTTGGTCAAAGAATCCCCATCATACATTCCGGTGATCCACCTGGTGATGCAGTTAACATAAGAAAACAATAGCTGGCATTTTCTGAGTGCTTGCAATGTGCCAGAGCCATTAAATGAGATGCAAATCCCATCACAAAAACTGGAATTTTCATTAGGACCCAGACTCAGAAAAGGCCCAGCTTCAAAGATCCTGACTTGCACAGACTGAGGACTCCCATTTCCACAAGTTCAAAAACCTCCTTTCTTATCTAAATGAGAGAAAAGAAAAAAAGAGGTTAAGATCAAGAAAAGATGGTTTTGGTGAATAAATTCAACCATCTGGACTCCTTGGTATTTATGCAACTGTTATGGCCAGAATTAAGGAGGGCAAAAATCCTAACCTGCATTTTATTCAGGATTGAAATTTTTACATACATAAAGGAAGAGGTAATAGACAAAACGTCAATTTTGTTAAAGTATCCTTTTGTCTGTAGCCATTCAAAATAAAATTTCATACCAAATCTCATAAAGAGATGTTTCAAGATACCCAAAGTGTGCCCAGATTATACACTACTATATAATATTATATAATTTTTTGATATAGGATAACTGCTAATAATGACATCAATGTAATAAAAATAAACATGGGTGACAAGGGTTTCTTTTGCAACTATTTCTCCTTATTATTATAATTAGAAAATGAGTGCTGGATTACTCAGATTTAACATTATAACTGAAATCATCAAATATCTTCTGACATGCCTGACATCAAATTGGCTAAACCTGTTTTATAAAACCAGTTCAGGGGACAGGCTGTGTGTGTGTGTGTGTGTGTGTGTGTGTGTGCAGGGAACTGAGAAAATTTCTTTTAACCTGAACCAATGTCTGATATAACTCACTGATCAATTATAATCAGGTTTGGTCATTCTCGGAATATAGTTTTATGTGGTAAACTAATTCACTCTGCATGTTTGGAGGAGTAATTTCAAGCCTCTTCCCCAGTTACTGCCTGGTTCACTCCTGACTGGTGACTGGCAGCCATATTTATTTCTGCACAACCCCTTTTCTCTCTAACATCAGGCTAGATTGAAAAATTAGCCCCATGATAACATGGTGGGTGGCAAATCAGTGTTTCACGTTATGATGATAATGAATTATTTTCATACGTATATAATGAGCTAATGCCGTGCCCACAAACGCTTTCAATCAGTTTTGATCCACTGGTACCTCAAAAAATGTTCCCACCCCCAAAAACCAGAATAGCCTTCTAAATTAAATAAGTGGGTTTTGGGGGATGTGGAGATGTGGGCAATGAGGCAAATTTGTGGCCCCCACATCCAAGTGCACTTTTAAGGATGAAAGGCAAAGATGATGGAGTCTCTAAAGACCCAAGGAAATGTGCCAAGTCCTCAGATCTTCCTGCTTCCTAAAGGTACACCTAAAGGTAAAACTGTGGTCCCTAGTAGGGCAGAGCCACTGAACAGTGCATGAAGAAACAAAGCTGATTCCTACGAAACACATGGAAAAGATACAGGATACGGTTTTGCGTGAGGCGTGAGATGGTCTCTATAATTGTAGTTACCTCAGAGTTAAAAGATAGGAATCATTTCAAAGGCCAGAATGTGCTGGCTCCCATGTCAAAGACTTTATTACTGTGTTTGAACTCAAGTTCAAACTGAAAAAAAAAAAGATTAAAGGCAACTGCTGATTACACGGTACCTCGGGAATGTCCATCATTCTCCTCAGCTTCTGATCTCTCCAGTTCCAGTCAAAAACCAGAAACTTCAAGGGGTTCAAATTGAGGCCACCTGAAAGAAGCAGAGAGAGTTGCTACAGTAAAGACCTCACGACATAAGCTTATTAAAATAATTTTTTATTCTCCTGGCTGTTTCCTGCCTCACTGCTGTCCCCTCACTCCACCCTTCTCCCCAGGAAACTAATCCCAGCACAGGAACGCTGCCCTGGCCTCATGGGAAACAAATGGAGCTCCCCGAGACTTGCCCTCCTCAGCCTGACTGCTGGCTCTGAGGCGAGCAGAGCAGCTGCTCTTGCAAAGCTGTCAGATGCTTGGGTGCTGCCACAGCAGCAGTCCCAAGCCTCCATTTCACGAAGGTCCAGAGGGCCAAGTCTCCTTCTGGACAGGGATTCGGTGAGATGTGCCTGTGGGCTGTGGTAGTGGCCCTGCAGGGGAGTTGAGTCCAATAGGGTCTGCATGGCTCTGAGGAGGTGAGTGGCAGAAGGATGAGGACAGGGCTGGGGGGTTAATTTTAGGCAGACAAGGAAGTTAAGATGGATGGGCTCTACTCAAAGTCTGTGACGCTCTGAGGAGAGAGGTAGACCATGAAGGACCCCATTCCCGCTGTCTTCTGACGGTCTATCTAAAGACAATTTCAGAGGGCGGGGCTGGAGGGGGCCTGAGGGACTGTCTATTCCTCAGAGGTGTCAGCATCGGGCACAGTTAGTTCATCCCCTCCCCACGTTCTTCCCACCACCCACGCTGGCACGTTACATACGGAAACATAAGGGAAGCCTTCCTCTGTCCTGCAGCATTTGCCCTCAACTTTTCTCTGTGGTTATGTCAATATTTTCCTCTCTGCCCCAAAGACTTTTTCATGCTTCTTATAATCACAATGCCTCTTATTAAAACTCTCTGCAAAATTAAAAATGATAAATTGAGAGAGACAATGGATTGATAGTCTTCTCTTAAAAACAACTTACTGCTAGTGGGAGAGCAAACAGGTGCAGACTCTGGGCATTATATAACAGGAGCTTTAAAAGGCTTACTGTTTGATAAAATAATTCTCCTTCTATGATGTATCCCAATGAAACATCAGAAACTTAAACACAGTTACTTGCAAAGATGATCAGTGCAGTATTATTTATAATAGTAAAGAATTAGAAACAACCCAAATATCCTACCGTAATAGAATTGCTAAGAAATAATATAACTTAGGGTTAATATCCAAAATGTATAAAGAACTCATACAACTCAATAGCAAAAAAACATAAACAATCTGATTAAAGAATGGACAGAAGAATTGAACAGACATTTTTCTAAAGAACACATGGCCAACAGGTACATGGAAAAGTGCTCAACATCGCTAATCATCATGGAAACGAAAATCAAAACCACAGAGAGATATCACCTCACACCTGTTGGAATAGCTATTATCAAAAAGACAAGAGATAATACATGTTGGTGAGGATGTAGAGAAAAGGGAACCCTTGAACACCGTTGGTGGGAATGTAGATTGGTGCAGCCACTATGGAAAACAGTATGGAGGCTTCTCAAAAAATTAAAAATAGAACTAGCATATGATCCAGTAATTCCACTTCTGGGTATTTATCCAAAGGAAACGAAATCACTGTCTCAAAAAGATATCTGCTCGTTCATATTCACTGTAGCATCATTTATAATACGCAAGCACAGAAACAACCTAAGTGCCCAACGACAGATGAATGGATAAAGAAAATGTGGTGTGTGTGTGTGTGTATAATATACATATTCCATTATATATATATATGTAACGTATATACATAATGGAATGTTATTTAGCCATAAAAAAGAAGGAAATCCTGCTATTTGCAAAAACATGGATGGACCTTGAGGGCATTAATGCTAAGTGAAATAAGTCAGACAAAGACAAATATGATTTCACTTATATGTGGAATCTGAAAAAAACTGAACTCATGATAAGTATAGAGAATAGATAGGTGGTTACCAGAGGTCGGGGCAGGGGTTAGGGAATGGGTGAAGGTATTCAAAAGGTGAAAACTTATAAGATAAATAAGTTCTTGGGATGTAATGTACAGTATGGTGACTATAGTTAATAATACTATATTGTATATTTGAAAGTTGCTAAGAGTAGATCTTAAAAGTTCTCATGATGATAAAAAAAATTGTAGGGGCCGGCCCCATGGCTGAGCGGTTAAGTTCGTGCTCTCTGCTTTGGCGGGCCAGGGTTTCACTGGTTCGAATCCTGGGTGTGGACATGGCACCGCTCGTCAAGTCATGCTGAGGTGGCATCCCACATGCCACAACTAGAAGGACCCACAACTAAAAATACACAACTATGTACCAGGGGGCTTTGGCAGAAAAAGGAAAAAAAATAAAATCTTTAAAAAAAAAAAGAAGAAAAAGAAAAAACAATTGTAAGTATGTGTGTTGATGGATGTTAACTAAACTTATTACAGTAATAATTTTGCAATATATACATGTATCATATCATTATGTTATATACCTTGAACTAATACAATTTTACATGTCAATTATATCTCAATAAAATAGAAAAAAGCCCATATAAATTTATAATAGAATATTATATAGCTGTTAAAAACTGAAAAATTAAAACTATTTTATGATAAGGAAAGTCTTCATGAGATATATAAAGTGGAAAAGATAGGTTATAAAGTTATGAAATACAGTATGGGCTCCTTATAAAAATAAACTATTGAAAGAGAATATATTTAGTATCAACTAACAAGAGATTATCTCTAAAGTGTCATTTTCTTTTCTGTTACCTTTTTGCATTTTTCAAAGGCTCTTATAGTCAGAAAATCCCCTTCATTATTAGATTAAAGCAATACTATACTGTCTATAATTGTACAGATCCCAATGTCATGGTATATCTTTCAACATCTGGAAATTCTCCTTAGTATATCATATATAAACATCTTAGGTCATAAACAACTACATAAAATAAGTTATATGCCATTTGTCTCGCTTTGTTAGATTTTCAGTTTTTAGCGTGCTCTTTAAACACTTTGTATGTAGTCTAACACTTGTGGTTAATGAGTATTAAACCATTTATCCAATCAGAATCAGAAGGAAAGTTATTTTCATTAGTATTATAAAAAATCAACGGCTCCTTAAATGATTTTTTTTACTCCTTAAATGAAATAAACTTTCATGTTTAGTTCTTACAACTTTGTAGAAATCTAATTTCAACAATCTGTACAGCCTGGTTTTCTCTCTCTCTTTCAAATATGGACAAGAGTGGCCCTCTTGCATGGGGGGGCCTGGTGACACACAAAAAGCCATCTGGATTCCAGCAGGGGAGAGGTGAATCTTGGGCTAAGAGCAGTGGGAGAGGCAGGGTCCCACCCTGGCCTCACGCTGCCCAGCTAATCTCTCCCAGCTCTGTGTCTCATAGATGGACCACAAGCACGTCTCATCTGGTGCTCTCCTATGTCCTCAACGCCCTCCAACGTCCAGAAGACAAAAATCCAAACCCCTTAGCTTACTGTTCAAGGTCCTCCCTCTGCAATCTGACTCCTTTCCAGTGGAATCATAGGCTACTACAGCCTACGGAGCCTCTAACCAAGAAAGGTGATCTCCTTAATAAACACACTAACACTTACTGTGTTCTTCAGGCATGCCACTTATTGTGCTGAGCTCTTTATGGGCATTTTGTCTTTATAACAATCCTTTTGAGGGTGGTACTATTACTATCTCTGTGATTCAGATAAAGAAGCAGCTTGAGAAAGGTTAGGTAACTTGCCAAGGTCACAGGGCTGGTAAATTGCTGGAGCAGGGATTGGAACCCCCGGAGGTCTGAGTCCATCACAGGGGCTCTTCCTCTCCACGCTGCATTGCCTCCTTATCATCCGCTCTAATTCATCACTCGTTTCTGCCTGACTTCTTCTGATTCAGTCCTTCCCCCATTCCTGAATACTGTTCTCACATCTATTTTAATCCTGTCTGTTTTAATCCTCCCCATACTTCAAGACCAGTGAAAGACCCTTTCCTCTGAAAACCTTCTCTGCAGATTTAGCCACCACACCAATCTCTCCCTTGTTTCAACTCCTACAGGACTTAGAAGAGCACATTTGGCCCCTGGCTTTTACTGCCTCTTGGCTTCAATCTCATTCTATGTACATTTATCTCATTAACTGGATCAGGAGCTCCCTGAGGGGAAAGGCTATGGAACCAGCAAGGCCAACAGTGAGGGATCTCAGGAGGGCTACTTAACCCGTCGAGCTTCAGTTTTCTCTCACAAGAAATGAGAATGCTAGCCTGCAAGGATGCAGTGAGTATGAAAGAGGATGCAGTGAGTACTAAAGGAGGACGCTGTGAGTACTAAAGGAGGATGCTGTGAGTACTAAAGGAGACATGTAAGGGTATCTAACATAGCACTATGTACAAGCAGGAACTCAAAAAATATTTGTTTCCCTTCCTCGTCTGGGCCCACCAAGTTTGTCCCTTCCTTGTAATCATACAGCACTCTGTATACAGTGGGTTCATTTAACCCTGGATAGTTTTGATCTGGAGAGAAACATCAGTATTTTTAGCAGTCATCTGCCAGATGGCATTTGTCATCTCTACAGTGAGTTACTATATTGATGAACGCATTACTTTTACATGCATAAAAAATCCAGGAATAGTTCCAGACAGTTAGAAAACAAAGTTCAATTACTATATTAAATAACTAATTTGGAAATGAATAATGCAAGAAATCTTTGGTCTGTCTGGCAGGTAGAACAGGTAATAAGATCACTAGCAGGTTAGCAGGCTTTTAGGCTATTGGCTTTGAGAAAGTCAACACACTATAAAAATCCACCAGCACACGTTGTCTGGAATACTTTCTGGGTAAAGCACTAAAAGAGAAATGTATTCAAGAGAAATATTCTAAAATACCTGTATTTTGTCTACAGAAGCTGCATTTTTGTTTCAACATGTTTTATATATCAGCCCTTAACTGGAGTGGGAGTCTTGGGGAAACCAAGACTCAATCAACTGAGAGGGAAATATTCAACACAGCCATCTCTACAAACTTCAGAGGTTGCAAATGAGTGGGATGAACTGTGAGTCCACCAACCGGCTTAGAGTAATTGGAATTTGAATGTATTTGGGTCGGCACACGTACTGCAGTTTGCCACAGTCCTTCCCATTCCCTATTGCACTATACCTGCCGCTGGCTTTAGAGACTAAAGGCTGAGTTTCCAACTCCTGAATGAACACAGAGGTCTGGCTTCACACCATCACACAGCTGGCTTCCCAAGCTTGCCTGGAGGAAGAGCAAACTCCCAGCTCTGACGGGGAGGGTCACTGCCTCTTTCCCTACCTTGTTTAATGAGTTCTTTAATCCTCCCTGGAGTTCCGACACCCAAGTGCACGACACGCTTTTCCAGCATCTTTACCTGCTCCTGGACCTATTCCAAGATGGAAGAGAAGAATCGTTAAAAAGTGCAACCATAGGCCAGTTTAGAGCACTTTATCTCAAAATTTAAAAAAGTGAAAAAGCAAATGGGGCTACCCTTGTTTAGGGTCAACTTCCAGGGCAAAGAAGGGTGACATCAAGATAAAAGTGCATGGGGCACGCCTGGTGGCACAGTGGTTAAGTTTGCGTGCTCTGCTTCGGCAGCCCAGGGCCCACCAGTTCAGATCCTGGGTGCGGACATGGCACTGATTATCAAGCCATTCTGTGGCAGGCGTCCCACATATAAAATAGAGGAAGATGGGCACAGATGTTAGCTCAGGGCCAATCTTCTTCAGCAAAAGGAGGACTGGCGGCTGATGTTAGCTCAGGACTGGTCTTACTCAGGGAAAAAAAAAAAGAAGAGCATCTCCCTAGAAAACTGGTAAATCTTCAAGGAATCCAGGGGTGAAATCTGAGCTTCTGTAGAGGAATCAGGGAGCATGGAGGAGTAGTGACTGTTGTGGGGGCAGGTGAGTATGCAGAGGCAGGGAAGGAAAGAAAACCAGATGGTTGCGAAGTTATGTTATGTAAGGAGGTACCAGAGAAAACGCTTGCTAAGGAGATAAGGAGAAGAGGTTGAGGGGAAAGCTGAGGTCTTGGAGCGGCCCTCAAGGATCACTTACATCCCACCAGGCACCTCAGGCCTTGGCTTACCTTTATGTGTTTTGCAAATAACTTGATAACTTTACTGTCTCCTCTGAATGCTGTCATCGACCTAATGAAAAGGAATAGATTAATGCATAAGAAAACTCATTCATTCCAAGCCATGTTGACTACTTAAGTATTATGTCTTGATTTATTCAAAAGAATATGCGCATTTATGTGCATATATACATATATGCGAAACACTTCTGAGGTTTTCAGGTTGGTTCATCTCTGGAATGAAAGTGGGGTGGCCTTCAATCAGGCACACAGCTGGGTTGGCTTCTTGCTCTCATATACCAGGTTAACTGTACTCAGGTTTCCTTGATTATTGAAACATACAGATCTGCCCTTCACTTGTAACACGGGATTTCTGTATTTCAGGTTCCCAGCGGAGAATTCATCTTCAGACTCCGCAGTACAGATCTCATACAGAATTTGGTTGTGAGGAATATCTGGGAGCAGTGATATCAGCCTGTGCTCTGTGAGAGCCCGAGGGCATCTGCAAAGGTCCATCTGTGGCTGCTGCGGTGGGTGGGGAGGAGCTGACAGGCGGGGGCGGGGCCTTCAGTCAGAGCAGCTCCTCATTTTTATCTACTTTGCAGAGCGAGCTTTTCTGTAAAATTTTATATGTGGAAATGCTTTGGATACAAATAGGTATAAAATAACAATCTTTCAGTTGATGTTTGGAGACAGAATGAACATGGAAATACTGCTCAGGAATATTACTTTCCTTTATATATCATTACTTATTTTGAAAAATATTATTGACCAGTAGGAATATATAAGTTTGCAAAGCAGCGAACCATGTTACACAAGCTCTGTTGCGCTTGCTCTGCTTTACTTGCACGCAAGCTTTCTCCATGGCAGGGTTTACTAGGAAGACAACTTGGGGGACATATTTAACACAACACATGGTTCTCAAGAGAACAGACACTCTTACAAAGTTAGAAGTATTCAACATTATTCTTCGTGAATAGAGCTCATTGTGCGTGCACAAAAATCACCTTTTGCAAATCACTTAACCCTGACATGGATCATAGCATTGCTGGGGACACAGAAAAGCACTGAGAATTGGTAAACGAAGTGCGAATACACAGTGCTTTACGCTCCTCAGAAAGGCATTCGTGTACAGCAAAGCTCAAGTCAGCTGGACAAAGTGTTCTGAAGAAGCCGCCTCCAGGCCAACCTCTTGCCATTAGTGTTTGAATCTGAAATGAGCTCTGTGGCGGCAGTTTTTAAATCACGGAAAAGTCCATGTGAACTCCTGGTGATTTCAGAACCAGCAAGTACAGCTGCTCAGAAGCAGTCGGAGTCTTGAAGATCAATTATGTTTAGAGCAGAAATAGCTGAAAGGAACACTTTTGTTTGACTGGGACAGTGTGTGATACAATTGAATGTGTGTGCCTAGCGGGAAAAGGAGGGTTTGAAAGACTTGTAACAAAGCTTAACCACTACTTTTCTAAATTCATGATCAGATCAGTTCACGTAGAAAACAGACAGGACTAACTGCTGAGTGCCTGTATCTGCAACTCCGTCTGGCTGATGCAGTTCCTTTGTCTCAGGACTTGGTTTCTCCTTTGTTTGTCTCTGGCACAGGGTGTGGCCCCCCGGAGAGGCCGTGTCCCAGAAAATCCCATTTTCCTCCAATGGCTCTTCTCTGAAAGCTGAGTGTTTCTCTGACCCAGTGGAAGTCTTTGCGTTTGTTCTATAAAACTACAGCAAGTGAAAAGGTATGTGAAAGCACTTAGGAAAGCACTGACAAATTATCTTTAAAACATAATTTTTACACGTAAAGTTTTGGTCCATTCGGAATTTACCCTGGTATAAGAAGTGAGATATGGATCCAACTTTATTTTCCAGATGGCTACCCAGTTGTTCCAACAGCATTTATTAAGTAATCCATCGTTCCCTACTGACTGGTCACCTTCGCCATGTGCTCCATCGTCATACGTGTGTAGGTCTGTGTCTGAACTTTCAGTTCTGTCCCACTGGTCTGATCTGTCTGTCATGCGTGTGCCCGTCCCATACTGTGTTACTTATTGAGACTTCATAATGTGTTTTTGTTTTTGGAATCTGATATACCATAGGCATAGGATGCTCTCATTAGGATTCTTTTTTAGAATTTCCCTGGCTATTTTTTCTTCTGTATTTTCTCACATGAACTTAGAACTAGTTTATCTAGTTTAAAAACCAATTCTATTGGCGTTTCATTGGGAATCTGTGAAATCTGTACATTATCCGAGGTGGAAGAGACATCTTCATGACATTGAGTCTTCCTATCCAGAAACACGGCGTGTGCCTTTGCTTGCTGGAGATCTGCGTCCCTTGTGTAATATTTTCTTCACATGGGTTTTGGTAAGTTTACTCCTTGGTGCTCTATCTTTTCTTGTTATGCTTCTCTTGTTTTTTTCCGGCTTTATCTCCCCAAATCTCCCCTGTACATAGTTGCATATCTTAGTTGCAGGTCCTTCTAGTTGTGCTGTTATTATTTTCAAGCAGACCTTTTCTACCAAGTGGTCATTGCTCGCGTGGTTTCCCCGCTTTCACCCTTGCTCTCTACAGTGCGTGTGCTCCACACAGCAGCCAAAGTGAGCCTTCAGATCATGTGACTCCCCTGCTCAAATCCTCCAGGGCATCCCATCACAGGGCCTCCTGGCTTACTACCCCCCTGCCTAGAAGGCTCTTCTTCCAGGTATCTGCTTTTCTTTCACCTTCACTTTGTTCAAGTCTCTGCTTCAATGTCATCTCCTTAGAGAAGCTTTCTGTGATCACCCTTTAAAAAGTAGCCCCTAGCCACTTCTATCCCTTTGCCAGGCTTTATTTTTTCTTACATAACTTACCACTACCTGACATTATAACGTATATTTATTTGTTTATTGTCTGTCTTCCTCACTGGAAAGTAAGTTCTATGCGGGAGGGGATTCTGTCTGTTTTGTCCATTGCTCCATCTCCAGCATATAGAACATTTCAGCTTGACACATATCAGTCACTCAGAAAACATTTACAAAATGGAATAGGTGAAGCTTCCAACCTAATGAGCTCTAGGGCTCGGCTGGCAGAGCCGCAGATGATCAGCATCACGACCGACTTCTTCTCACTGTGGTTCTTCCGAAGTTTTACCCACTTAGGACAGACTGAAAGAAAGACCATAAAAAAATCACTCTAAATATAGCAAAATAGGGCCTTCAAACTCAAGCATTCTCCAATTACTTCTGTTTTTTTTTAAAGATTGGCACCTGAGCTAACAACTATTGCCTATCTTTTTTTTATTCTTCTTTCTTTCTGCTTTTTTCTTCCCAAATCCCCCCAGTACATAGTTGCATATTTTAGTTGTGGGTCCTTCTAGTTGTCACATGTGGGATGCCGCCTCAGCATGGCCTGATGAGTGATGCCATGTTCATGCCCAGGATCCGAACCAGTGAAACCCTGGGCTGCCGAAGGAAAGCGTGTGAACCTAACCACTTGGCCATGGGGCCAGCCCCTCCAATTACTTCTTTGTTAGTGTTTAAAGAAAATAAAATATAACGGGCACTGTTTAGATTCTATTCTCTGGTAATTCTAGATATTAGATTAAAACAGAATATCACTAACTTACAAAACAAAACATATAATACATCAAGTAGCTATATGTGACTAGTTTTGGAAGAATACATTTTCAATATTTTAATTTATGTTAGATGCTTGAAGGCAATGTTGACTAAATAGGAAAAGAATTCTGATTTAATAATGTTAAATTTTAAAGGGACATCAACATAAGATATAAAATGGAAATGACATTTAAAGAATAGCAAACACTTATTAGATATTGACATTGTGCTAAGCACTTTACATACATTCTCTTTATTAGCTCTCATAATCCAGTGCGGTTGATTCTGTTGTCACTTACATTTAAATTTACTGAATTTGAGGCTGAGAAAAGTTTAAGCACTCAAGTTAGGTGTCCTCAGAATTGCTTAGTTTGAAAGAAGAATGTTGAATCTTCATCTAAACTATTTCATTGTTGGCCACAAACAAATAACTACAATACAAGTAATCTAGTTGCTACTGGATACACACAACACATATTTAAAAAGATCAAGTTAGACTGACCACGCAGTAGCCATGGTCTGAGTTCTGAACATGTGACCAGAATTTCAGAATCTCACAGCTGGAACAGATCACATAGTTCTACTTCCTTATCTCTCAGATGACAAAGTCAAGTCCCAGAGGGGTACTGAGTGACTGGTCCCATGGCAAACAACAAGTTAGGAGGGGACACTCATCTAGTAGTCAGAACACTGATTATTCTCTAGATTCCTAGACTAATATTTCTAATGTGTTATAAAACAAAAACGAGACCAAAACCCAATTCTCAAAGCCAGAGCAAAACAAGAAGAAAGTAAAAATTGCTATCAAGATGGACCTAAAGAAACCTTCATTTAAAATCCATGTAAGGTGGCAACTTTTGATTTTAAATGTAGTTTTATAAGTTTTTACTTTGAAGAGACAGACCTTATGCTTTAACGGAATAATGACAACTTGATGAATACTTTTTTTATTTTTAGTACTGTTTTTGAAGAAGATTAACCCTGAGCTAACATCTGCTGCCAATCCTCCTCTTTTTGCTCAGGAAGATTGGCCCTGAGCTAACAGCCGTGCCCAACTTCCTCTATTTCATATGTGAGACTCCTGCAACAGGATGGCTTGATAAATGGTGCGTAGGTCCACACCCAGGATCCAAACTGGTGAACCCCGGGCTGCCGAAGCGGAACGTGCGAACTTAACCGCTGTGCCACTGGGCCGGCCCCAAGGTGAATAGTTTTTTTAAAGATCAGAGTTTACTTACTTTCTTTTAGGTATGATGAAAGACTATGAGTCAAATCATTGGCCTTGAGGAAACAGGTGTCTAGAAATATGAGAAACATACCTTGTAGAGAATTTTGCAAACACATACATAACAAAATAGATTAAACGTGAATTGTGCATTCTTGAACAAGGTTATAGAACCTTAGTGAATTAGGGGCTTATTATATATTTTAAAGTGTTGTCTAGTATTTAAAACAATAACAGCAGCAACAACAGTAAACTTTTAACTGTCCATAATTTCTTAGAGTCATAAAATAGAAGCTTGTTGTATCATTCAAAGGACTAATGAAGCATCTTTATTTTTCAAATCCATGGAATAGGCAATATACAAAGGCAAAGCTGAAACAGCTAACAAATCCATGTGGAGAAGCTCCAACTCACTAGTCATCACAGAAGTTCAAATTAATATAATGATGAGATAACACTTTACACACGTTAGAATGGCAACTGTTTGAAAGATGTGTAATACCAAGTGTTGTCAAGAACGTAGGGTGATGGAAACTCTCGTGAACTGTGGGTGAAGGTGTTAAGTGGTCTAGCTACTTTGGAAAGTAGTAAAATTGAGATGTATACACCCTATGACCCCATGATAACATTACTGAGTAAATAATGGAAAGAAATTCGTGTGTGGTCTCTAAAGAGACATACGCAAGTATATTTAACTTAGCATTATCTGTGATAGTGGGGAACTAGAAGCAACCTAAGTGTCCATATCTGAGAAAATGGATGAGCAATCTGTGGTCAAGGAAATCACAGGAATATTGCGTAGCATTTAGAAGCAAGAACTAGATGTATATACAGCCATATAGGCATGTCTTGAAAAAAGTGTTAAGTGAGGAAAGAAACAGAACGAGAGGTTCAGCACATCATTTTGATAAACTGTAAAATAAAACTGTAAAACACACACAACAACAGGACATATTTTACAAGAATCCATACATCTTTAACAGCGTCTATGAACACATTAGAGTGAAGGCCTATGGGGAAAGGAAATCCGAGTGTGGATTTGGGAAGAGTGAGAATAACACATCACAACACAACACAACAACACAATAAAGACAATGTAACGCACCAAAATAAAACATAGGGGCCGTCGTCAACCAGTGACGAACACGGTCCAGCAACTGTGGAGTATTACTAAGTCTGTACCTGAGATATATAAAAAAGCAACATCACATTTAGTGTCCTAATTCTTTCTACAAGAAAAAGTTTGCCTATAAACACAGCAGAGCGCTAGGGAGTAAACTATTACTAAATTAAATGAAATTCATACTGTGACCCAGAATATATAACTCACATATGTGAGTAACTTCAAAGCTGTTGCTTCCTGTACTGTTGTAGAGCCTTTGATGGTCTTTAAAACGGTAAGTTCCCAAGCCTAGAGATGATCAGACTCACCTGGAGAGCTATACAAAAGACATGGGTTCCTGGGATGGTCTCTCTTTTGTGTGATGAGCCAGAATTCCTTGGGGGTGGGCCTGGGAACCTGCCTTTTAAGTTCCTGGGTGGCTCAGCTGCAGCTGGCCTGCAGGCACTTAGCACTGACCTGACCCCCTGCAGCTCTCAGGAGGACGGCTGAGTTGGCTCCAGGCAACTGCTCAAAACTCTATGAAGTGCCCATGTGTAGGACATTAACAATGTACAGTGCGCAATATTAACTGAAAAGGCATGTTCCTGCCCTACAGACACAAACAACCTCAAATGGAAACCAAGTTAGACACTCGGCAAACTAATTAGGAACAATATTTTATTATGTACAGTTGTCCCTTGCTGTCCACTGGGGATTGGCCCCAGGACTTCCCTGGATACCGAAATCTGCGGAAGCTGAAGTTCCTGGCATAATATGGTGTAGTGCTTGCATATAACCTATACACATCCTCCTGTACACTTTAAATCCTCTCTAGATTACTTATAATACTAATACAATGAAAGTACTATGTAAATAGTCACTGTACTGTATCCTTTAGGGAATAATGACAAGAAAAAACTCTGTACATGTTCAGTACAGATGCAACCATCCTAGGCCTTTCAATTGGTGGTTAGTTGAATCTGCACATGCAGAAGCAGTGCATTCAGAGGGCTCTCTGTATCTACCTTCTATTTACGACCCTTGCCGTGCCTCTTCCTAACAACCCACAGCATGTGCCTCCTCTCACCTACCAGACTTCCTCTCTGTCCTTGGTTTCATCAGTGCACTGACGCGCCTTTTCTCTAAAACCTTACTACGATTCCTTTGTTCACTGTCTCGGAATGGCCCAATTTCTTACGTGAGAAAGAAAACCTGTTCTTGTTGGCTGTAACAGTATTCTTAACATTTTTCTTGCCCCTTAAACCAGCCCATGACCATACATTCTTGTCTAATTGTACTACTGAGCTCTAAGACAGCCTAGTAATAATATAATGTAAACTCATGATGGAACTCAAACCACTCCTTCAAGGTTCCTTCTGACCTTTGACTCTATCATTCTAGTGAATTAAGGGTGATGATGTTCTGTGAGGTGACAGAGTAGCAATGGTCTTGTTATCGCACAAGTTCTTCCAAAGCTGAAGGTATAACAAAGAACGAGGAGGAAAAACTGACCATTGAGTCACAGTAGAACCAAACTTCAGTTAGACCTTGGAAAGAGGTTCGTTACAACACTTGGTTCCTGAGATGGAACAGTCAGGACCCAGCTCTCCTGCAGGGGAACTGCTGTGCTGAGGAGAGTGTTCTGACCGCTGCTGGAGCCGTCTGGGCTCAGGGAGTCGGACACTCCAGACCTCGCGCATATGGACACGCATGCCTTCAATTCCCTAAGGGGTAGTCCTTTTGGAAAAGAAACAGGGGCACTCATGTCTCCAAGCCAACAAGCGCTTTTTTTTTTTTTTTAAAGCACATCACAAAGGAATTATAAAAATCCAGGGAATGGACTGTTTTTCAGCTTCTCAAGCCTCTAGAAAGCATAAAGCAGTAATGGAAAAAGGAAATCAAGCTACCCTTGACTTTTTCAACAGCAGTGTCAGATATCCCTCATAGTCTATAAATAGCTCAGCGGAGGCAGTGGTACCCACACTATTTTGTGGTTTGATTTTTTGACATCTTTTCTTCAATCTCTGCCAAAAAGAGTTACAGGATGTATCACAATCTTGAAATTAATTAAAATTCATTGCTTTAAGAATTTTGCAGTATCTTTTAACTTAATTATAAATACCCTAAGGCAGTAGATCTCAAATAATAGTAGGCTTAAGAATCATCTGGGGTGAGGTGTTAGCCTTTCTAAAAATGCAGAATTTCATCTTTTTTTTTTTTTGTGAGGAAGATTGTCCCTGAGCTAACATCTGTGCCAATCTACCTCTATTTTGTATGTGGGATGCCGCCACAGCTTGCTTGATGAGTGGTTTGTAGGTCTGTGCCCGGGATCTGACAACGAACCCCAGGCTGCCAAAGTGGAGCGCACGAACTTAACTGCTGGGTTACCAGGTTGGCCCCTTGTCCATATTTTTAGATAGTTCACTTGAAAAAATCTGGCCTGGGACCCAAAACACTATCCTAAAAACAAAACCATAATCAGAAATCCATGACAAGAACAACAACAAAGCTAAGCTGTGGATCAAAGCTCACGTCCTTGTCTGTAAAGGATGAGTAAATTAATATTCCATATCTATACTTAAAATGTGAGCTTTATCTTTATTTTTATCTAATTTCTATCCTCATTAGGATTCTTACTCCTTGAAGAATCTGCTAAAAAAAATGCACATCCAACAATTAGCTTTTTGAATAAAAAATATAATTACAAATCTTTCTATTAGATTGAACAAATACCATTTAGCATCTTAAAAAAAAAATTAACCAAGAGTTAAAACTATTAGGTTGAGGAAAGAAGTATTAGCACATGGAGAATATATTAATTTTCTGGCTGAGAGACCCAGCCTTGCACACAGGAGAGCAGAGATGAACCTGTGCTGCTCCTCGTCATCGGGACAACGGCCGGCAGTTAACAGTGGGTCCTGCTGGACGACTAAGCTCAGAACAGTATGGAAAAAAGAAAGAGCCTGGCTGCACCTGGGAGGTTGAGCTCTTCTAACTCAATCACCGCACGACGGCTGCTGTAATAGTCCTGCATCAGCTTCTGCAGGTCTTCAGGGGTCCCTGGTTTTGGCTCTGATTTTGCAAGAACGTCAGTAATTTTCTTCTAAGACATAAGAAAGAAGAAAAAAAATGGGAGGATAGATTTTAGAATGGCATTTGGCTTAGGACAGGCTGATTCCTCTGGCATTTAAACTGCACACAGATTTGGTGACAGCTGAGTGTGAACGTAGAGTTCTACCAAATACACTTCAGAGAACTTAATAGGTAAGTTGGGCATTCCTGCTTTGAAAAATAAACGGATGATCTAAAAGTCTCCTTGTAACTCTTGGGAGAACTGAAATTTTTGCAGGAGTCTCTGCAATAAGGCATTATTTACTATTACAAGCCAAGAAGCCTTGTTGCTGTAAAAATCTCTCTTTAAGCCTTAGACAATTTGTATTCCTGGGAGAGTAGAATTCTGAGACTTTCTTGCCTAATTGGGTTTTGAAGGCACTGAGTCTCAGTTTGGATTTCTGGGATTACAGTAAAAGCCACAGGAGTAATCTGAGCAGAGGAGCTCACTGAAAGGGGACTTTAGACCCTCAATTCTCAACTCTTGGGAGAGAGAGTCTTGAAGGGGCCCTATGGAAAGCAGAACAGGAAACACTTTAGGACATCTATTTTAATTTGGATTCATTTGTGTAGCATTTACTGAATGCCTGTAATGTACTAGGAATACACAATCATTCATTTAATTTTCATCATAAACTTCCCTTCTTATTTCCTTCTAATGTTTCACCAAAGATCCAGAAAAAGCCCTTCCCTGTCCTGCTCTGGTCCCGCAGCTTTTCTCCCTCCTTCCACAATATCTTCCTTTCTATACCACTGCCAAGAACGTTCAAGTTCTGTCAAATGAATTAAATTTTAAAAATATGTCATCAGTGGGCACATTTTAGCATGACCTCAGCCAAGGCTAAACTATCTAGCTGGAGTTCTGACCTTGAGCCACCAAGAACTTAACACTCTTGAAGGCCATTAGCATACAAACTATCAAAGAGAAGTCAAAGTCACTTCTTTAAGGACTTGCCAAACCTCAGCCAACTTGGCATCTCCCATCTTCCTATCTGGCCATTTGTGAGCAAAGAAAACATATGCACACACACTCTGAGTTTTCTAAAAGCTTGCTGTTAAGTAACGGGTTTGAGTCCATCTTCTTTCCTCCAATCCCAATCATATTTCCTCTGCAGACTTCAGCAGCAGACCCTTCTTGGCAGGGAGAGAATCACACTGCTGTTTTCACAACTGTGGTGGAAGGTCAAAGCTCACCACGCTCTCTCCATGGCTGAGCCACGAGAGAGCCTGTATAGGACCAACAGTCTTCCACATGCTCCCAGGCAAGTTAAAACGCAAGGGGAGCCTTTTCCTCTAAATTAGGGTTCTGAATTAGACTTAGAAATGCCTTATACTGCCTTCATTTGCTTATTATTCTCTTTTTATTAATACTCTAAGATAAAAAGTTAAAAATTGAAAGAAAAGAAGGTGGGTGAATCTCTTTCCCTGGGAGAGGGGTCAGAAGGTAGGACAGCTCTGGGTGCTTCTAGAATTAGAAACTCATGTCTGACTTTTAAACACAGTGAAAACACCGGGTGGGAAGGAAGATATTTGGTGCTCCACAAGATTGAAATGGGAATCCGAAGAATTTACTTTCAGATCTTAGGAAAGTCACCAGACCTCACTGAATCTTAGAATTTCCGCATCCCTAAAGCGGAGATTACAACAATCGCCTCATCAAAGTACACTGTACCAAAATGCGATGGAAACCACGTGGGGCCCCAGCATTGCAAGAAATTATCAATATTACCTTTCTCCTCTTCCTGGTCTTGGTAGCATCTTCTTTTGTTTCCCTTGGTTGTATTAAGAAACATTCTTTAGGCTATAAAGAAATACAAATGAGGAAACTCATGTCAGCATGACGAAGTGTCAACCAATGGGATGAATCCCAAAGTGCCTGATGCCAGGCATGGATCGTCAGAGTACCTTGGTGATTTTCTGCAGACAGAGAGGTGCTGGAAGAGCCACTGTGGGCTGTCAGAAGGGGCTGGGCTAAGGAAATTTGAGAAAATCAGAAAGTGTAAAGGACTTAGGACTGGAAAATCTCTGAATAAAGGTCAAAATGTGTAGTGAGTGTATATACATGTTTGGGATGGTGGTATAGGGTATTAAAGATGGAAGACAGTGGCCAGGTTTGTAAAATCCAGGGAGAAATAGATGTGATTAAACCTAGGATGTGGTAAGAAAGTCTTTGACCAGTGGGGTTGGCATCTTCCATGAACTAGCAATGTGTGAGCCTGTATTTCCAACTCATTGGTTTATTATTTTGTTTATCATTTTGTTATCTACTCCTTTCCTCTTCTGAATAAACACAGAAAATTTGAAGTAGGATATATTTACTTATATATTTATAAAAGCAGCTGCGTCAAATGCCTTATCTATTAGTGACTACAAAATGACTGTTTCTACCGATGGTCTGGCAAGCCTCGGCACCACGGCATCCTGAATTATTGATTTTGCCTGTTGCATTGACTCCTGACTGCCCTATACAGTTTAGTGCTAATTTATTTTTCTTTTTATGAGGAAGATTGGCCCTGAGTGAACATCTGTTGCCAAGCCTCTACTTTTTGCTTGAGGAAGACTGTCCCTGAGCTAACATCTGTGCCAATCTTCCTCTATTTTCTATGTGGGATCCCACCACACCAGGGCTTGATGAGTGGTGTATACGTCCACACCCAGGATCTGAACCCATGAACCCTGGGCCACTGGAGTGGAGCACACTAACTTAACCACTATGCCACTGGACCGGCCCCAGTTTAGTGCTATTTTTACCCTGAGGTTTTTTTTTTAATGTAGAAAAACAGGAAATTTGGACTAAGACCTTGATTTATAAACTAGAATGCCTTAGATTCCATATTTATTAATCATAAGTAGGAATATAAAATGTTTCCTGTACTGGATCTTTTATGCAACATTTTCAAACAAGTTGCCAAGTAAGATACAAAATGTAAGTGAAAACTTATTCTGAGTTTTTCCTCAAGTTTCCAATCCAACTAGAGGGTACTTAGTTTAAGCTGGTAAGCTACTAACTAAAGCAATCTTGTCTTCACTGGCTCTGTTTAAAATGATTACAGACGAAGCTTTCTATTAAAGTTTGCAGACAGCCTGCAGATTAAGAATGCCTATGGCCTGAAGCCAGAGAGAGAGATACAATGCTACATAATTTCTTCAAGACTTGGGGCCAGGACCAGCAGTTTCTAGACTCTGTTTCAGTTAGTAGAGAACTAGATTCAAAAGACTCAAGATTAAAGTCACATGGGAATCTTGAAATTTTAACTTCTTCTCAGTTAAAATAAAAAACCTGTGAGGAGCAACTGCATCACAGCTAAAGAAAGGAAAGATATTACACCCTCTCTTATTTAGAAAGTAAGCTGTCTTGTGGATGCAGACACATGCCAATCTGATGGCGGTACATGCCAATTAGAAACTGGGCCAAGGCCACTAATATGTTACAGAAGCTGCCAGATGGTCATAAGAGTCCAATTACAGACCAGGCCAACATTCAGCTCATGTTCCTAAGGGAAAGAAAGGCCTGGATACAATTAGTAGACCCCTCAAAGCATCCTGTAGTATCTTGTCACTGGGATCAGGGCTTTTGGGAAGCAGCGGTAGAAACCTGTTCCATTTTCTTATTTAGCAAATAGAGGTGCTCTCCAAGAGTATGTTCAACACACTGGGTTGTATTTATGATAGGTTGACCAAGCCATTAACTCACACACGACATAAATTAAATCTGGAAATGAGCTCAGTTATAAGGATATGAACTCTCCAATTCTGGAAGAACAAATAAAAACGTAACTCTGAATCACGCAGAGCAAAAAAGAAATATGCTCGGTGAACTGCTGTTGTCAGATACTGCACTAGGTTTAAATGCTAGGGTCAAATTCTGAGATCACTCTAAAGAAAATGCAGTACAATATCTGTTTTCTGGCAACAGTCGCCTTAGCTGGTGGAGGGAGGGTGCTAATGAAGGAGCCAAGTTTATGGGTTCATCTTCCATGGAGGTGAGATGACTCTATGAATCCAAACCCACAGTAGTGAAAATTCCTAAACTTTGCTCACTGCCTTATTAATGCTGATGTTTAGCCTCAGAGAGACTAGGGAAGACAAGGAAGACCCTGGCTAGGCCAACTAAACATTTCTGGAAACCAATTTCAACACTGTCTGTCTGACAGTTGGTAATGTAATTTCTTCAGGTAACGATTTTAAATATGCACCCTAAATATGCAATTTAAATATGTAGAAGAATCACATTTCCCAAAAAAATATATGAAAAAAATTAAACTTTTTAAGTGAAGCAATTTGGGCATGTTCTCAATTCCTTAAAGAGTCAAAAATTATATCCTTTAATCACGATTCTGTTGGTTAAACATGGCAAATCAACCTCAAAATGCCACTAAAGTGAAAATAAAGGAAAGTGAAGAGGTACAAATCTATAAGGACCAAGAAACCAAGAGGAGGAACAATAGCAGTGGAGAGATTTTAACAACTTTTTGGAAAATGGAAAGTGGCTGAAACTGGATGGAAGTGATTTAGCAGAGAGTGAAAGCCACCCCTGGGTTTCTGGAGAGGTGGAGGCGAACAATAAGTGAGTCTCTTGACCTGCTGGACTGGGAAAATGTTCAGTAGTTGGAGGTGCAAGGTATGACAGAGAGTGAAGGACATAAAAGAAAGGCTGTTGACAGTTTATATTTAGAATCATTAGCCTCCCTCCCACCTCCCACCAGGCCGTATCTCCTGCCCAGGCAGCCAAGCAACTTTCCTGTTACTGTCTCCTCTCATCTTGCTCTGCCTGGCAGCACACTGGGGGTTTATTCTCCGGAGAGAAGAGGACCAAGAAGTCTTGCACCAGGCAGAGGTGGAGATTCACTTCCTTTTCTTGTCCCTGTTTCAGGATGTCTCCAGCCAGGCTTCTAGACAGGAGACTACTGAATTCTTCTCTGGAAAAATGAACAGCCTAAGGGAAATGCCACAAGGGAGTGACATTTGGGGGTCCACAGTAAAAATGCAGCTTCCTATCCTATCCCTCTACCATAAAGTCCACTAATCAACAAAAATTTTGCATCAACTTTTTAGAGTCTCTCTCTTTAACATGAATAGACAGCTCAGGTTCATCAGATGTCTAAGGAAAGTCTGCAGCACAAGAGCAACTAAACACGAACAGAACCATGAAGACAGAGGGAGAGCACTTCAAAGCCATTATAATTAATATTCTCAGAGAGATAATGGAAGAATTTGCAGCCATGAAACAAGAACAGGATACTACATACCAAAGGAACAACCAGAAAACATTTAAACATTGAAACAAATATGAAAGCTGGAATAAAAATGTTGGAGGAAGTCTTAAAGATAAAGTAGAGGAAATCTCCCAGAAAGATAAAAAATGGTAAGGAAATTAGAGAATCAGCCCAAGAGATGTGACATTACAATAAAAGGTATTACAGAAAAGGAGGTTATATAAAACAATGGGGAAGGAGTGATCAAAGAAACATACAAGAAAAACTTTCTAGGACCAAAGGAAATTTTCCAGAACATGAAAGCCCAGATTGAAAGCCCATTATGAATATAGTACAATGAATAAGAAAAATACCCACACCAACGAGCATCACTGTGAAATTTCAGAACATCATGGACAAACAAAAGATGCTAAAAACTTCCCCAAAGAAAAACAATAACATACAAAATACAAAAGGTCAGGAAAAAAATGGTGTCAGACCTTGCAACAGCAAGAACGGATGCTAGAACTCAATGGGACAATGCCTTCAGAAGTATGAGGAAAGCTTATTAGCAAATTAGACTTTTATACCCAGCCAAACTATCAATCAAGTCAAGAGTAAAATAAAGACATTCTCAGATATTCAAGGTCTCAAAAAATTTACTTCCTACCCACAGTTACTGTATTACAGCAAAATAAAGGGCTAAACCAAGACAGAGGAAGATATGGGACACAGCAAACAGGGAGACTAACCCAGGAGAAGGGTGAAGGGGCAGTAAAGAGAAGACTCAGTTGCTCAGCAGGCCTAGAAAATAACCAGTTCAGAGTGGACTGGACTACGGAAGTCTGCAGGGAAGAACAGAAGGGACCTCTTTGAGCATATGCAAATGTTATTCATGAGCATGTGGAAGAGATGCTGGAACATGCGGAAACAATTAACAACATGAACACAGCAAGCTAGGCAAATGAAGAAATGAGGTAATTATTAATGCCATGAAAATAAAGAGATGTATAAGAAAAGAGGAATAATTATAGCTTCCTTTTTTCTCAGCAATGAACAGTATTTCCGTGATCATAATAATGAGGTAGTGACAACTATGTTAACCAAACTGTGATACTGTGTTGGCGGGGCACGTAGCAGTTGGAGAAGGAATGAGAGTACACAGCAGAGCTCTGTCCTCATGTGCTACCTAGGAAGTTAACAGGTCATGTCAGAAACTGATAAATCAAGAAGCAGCAGTCTAAACTATCAGGTAGCAAAGGAGAAAAGCAGCTAAAAGCTGAGAGCAGCTTCCCTAGGACAGGAGTAGGGAAGGGGACTGCTGCTTTCATTAAAAACCTTTAATAGCATTTGATTATTACTTTGATAATAAAAAAATTAAATTGCCATTTTATAACAAAAATTTAAATTGCCATTTTTACAATGTTCATTGTAAGAATAAAAATTTTAAATTGGCTTTTTTGTTTCTTTTGGGTTTTGTTAAAAGTTATTCAATATACTCCTACCAAAACGTCTGAAATTAAAAAGAGTGATAACCCCAAGTGTTGACAAAGATATAAAGCAACCAAAACGCTCATGCACTGATGGTGGGAGTGCAAAAATGGAA